AAGGAAAATATTAAAAGTGTAAATCCTTGCTTCCTCACCGACGAAAAGGATTCCTGTAGCCATCTGATATAGGGTTCCAAATGATCAAAAAACCTTGCGTCCATGCGTGCTGGTCCGGACAGGGAGTTCCAATTGCTATCATAGTTTTGAGTTGAGCTGCTATTGCTAGGGCCAAATTCATTCAAAAGCTAATTTCTTGGATTTTGAATTTCATGGGCAAGGTATCATTTGAAACCCACGAATTTGGTCCAAATTCCTTTTCCACTTCTTGCCATTGTTATGGTCTCTATCGAAAAACCATCAGGCTTGAAACAAAGGAAAAAACAAGTGTATATAAATTTGATTGGACAATAAATATAAAATATGGAATTTAAGTGGATGGAGAGAAAGGCATTTATTTATCTGAAGATCTCTTCACAATTTATAAGTGGTCAAATTGAAACTGATTTAATTTAGTCGGATTGAAAAATGGTTAAACCAAARTTAATAAGAAATATTAGAAAATTGACCAATTTAGGTCGAATTCGACCGAATTAATTATTAAAAATTAGAATATAAAATTATTATATATTCTTATGTATTTGTATTATTTAACTTTTACTTAACAAAACTTGTACATAGTATGGGTCCCTGCTAATAAGTTATATACTACTGATCAAGGCTTTTTTATAAGGTATATTCTCTCTCTATGGTTGGACTGGACCGAAAGTGACAAATAATGTATCATGAATAGATAGGTGGATAGCTGACATAGACATTCGCTCCTCCACTTAGTAAAGAGGCCACCACCAAGTTATGAGACCAAATCTTCTCCTCACACGCACATCCTATCATGTATTGGGAACCTCTCCCATACTTATTTATTATTATTCACGGGAGATGTTCCATGCACGGTGGATGTACATGTGAGGCGCCCATTTGTGAGGAGCAGATCCCGTCACCCAAGTTACAACAAGGCAACAGCTCTTTTGTACCCACCAATTATGAGTCCCCGACAAAATCCAAATTGCTTTATTTCCTTTTGACGTCGGTGAAGCTTCACCTGCTATCTATGTCACCAAACAAGCCGCTGAGGTACTAAGGTAGATCAACCATACATACATTAATTGTATCTCATTTTAGTATGATGATTTGTGCTCGGGCTGATTTGATTAGAAAACTTAATCTCTTTTTATAACGAGGGAAGTGATTCAATGAGATTAATGGCCCTCACTTCTGTCTGCCTACCATTGGATTAGAATCATGAAATTGAAAATTCCAATTTATCAAGAGAAATGATTTGGGCACGTTCCAACTTTGATAAAAGACACAGAGGGTTTTTCTGTCTTTTTAATTAGGATATTCCCGGAATATAAAAATGAGATGCGCCCAAATAACGCAATAGATTCTCATTGATTCTTTTAGTAGAAGGGTCCACTAGAAACATCAAATATACAAAAGGAGGCCCCTTTCACAGAATTGAGAGGATGATCTTAAGGGGGGTGGTTTCGAATAAAAAATTAAGTTCTATTTATATTCGCTTTCTTAGCTATATCATGTGCCTTAGGCTGTGTTTGGTTGCAGTGCAAATGAATTTGTAACAATACAAATAATTTGAGTATAAATTCTGATTTATTTTTGTTTCAAGTTTTAGCTTATTTTGTTTGATTGTAGTACAAATTTAATAAATCAAGACATAAAACAGAATAAAGTAAAATCCAAAACAAAATTAAATAAGAATTTGCATTCTCATGCATTTATACAAGTTCAAATAAATTTGTATTACAACCAAACACAGCCTCAGTAACATCATTCCTACAGGCATATAGCAGATTTATGTCTTAAAAAGAGGGGGGAGATAATCCATATGATCCAGGAGTGCATGGCCATTCCATCTAATGCTTCTTGTGGCTTCTTTTAACTGCATCAAAATGTCTTTAGCATAAGAAGTTAGAGTTGCTTTACGAATCCCCAAAAGAGCTAGTTTCCTTGAGCCTCTACTCTAATGATTGCCCACAGACCAGAGTTCAGCTTCTAAGGCTTCATTGGCATGACATTGTGTAGTCCTTCTGCAATGCAAACATTGTGTGTATAACATAATAGATAAAGTCCTGTAGAAACTGTGCGGGTGTCAGTGTTCCAAGAGCCATCCACTACAACTAGTGAATGAGAAGAGAAAGAAAACCAGTAATCAGAGAGAGTGAGATCAGTTGCACTCTCTAACAAAGTGACATTTAGCTGAGAAGGCTCAACTTGCAGAACATATCCATCAGCTTTTAAAATTACTGTGAGAGAATCTGGTCTTTTCCCTCTAAAGACCACATTGTTCCTAAAGTTTTTCTTAGACCAGCAGTCCAGAAAATCCAAGGATCCTGAAGAGATAAATTCATCAAGATTAAAGCCAACTTGAGCTTCTAACCAGACAACTCTTGCTAGACTACATTCAAAGAATAGGTGAGCTTGTGTTTCAGGAGCATAATTGCAAAAGGAGCAATGTATATCTCTAGTCTGTCTTGAATACCAGGTTGCTTGTTTTGTTTTTACTTTGTTCATCAGAATCTTCCACCCAAACATTTGACATTTATAAGGAGCTCTCACCATCCAAAGAATGAGGGATGTTTGAGGTTCCCTCTCCATCATCTAGATTAAAGCTTTTGTAAGTAGAACGGACTGTGTAAACTCCATTCTTTGATCCTTTCCATAGCATGGTGTCTTCGGTCTAATGAGGAGAGGTAGGGATATTGCAAATTGCTTCCACCGTACTAGGTTCAAAGAGTTGATGCAGGATTTGAGTATCCCATTCCCAATTTTCTGTAATGAGGTCTTTTACAGCCCAAGTCCGATGTTCTTGACCAGCTAGAAGAGGGGTTTTTATTTGGCAGCCATAGGATCCAAGGGTCCATAAGAGGGTTGATGTTATCTCTTTTTCCTATCTTCCAACATAGGTGCGAGGATATTTGATCTCTTTCTTTTAGGATATTTCTCCACCACCTCGAATGGAACTATTTTGCTTTAACCTCAAAAAGACTTTTGTTTTTCAAATATTTTGGTCTTAATTGTCTTTGCCAAATTGCTTTCCCTTCTTCAAACATTTTTCCAGAGCTACTTTGCAAAAAACGCTTAATTCATGGGTTCCATTAATTTCAGTCCCAAACCACCTATGTTTTTTGGCCTACAAATTTTTCTCCATGAAATGTTGTGGCCCAAACTTTTCTCTTTATCTCCTTGCCACCAAAAGTTCCTCTGCATTTCTTCAAGTTTCTGTAGAACTTTCTTAGGTAGTATACTTGTGAGCACCAAATAGGCTGGAATACTTTGAATTACTGGCTATAACATTGTGTCTGGCTAGCTTGTGATAGCACCTTGGCTTTCCAAGTTTCAAGTTTGTTCTCCACTTTTGTAAGAACTTCTTTGTAAGGCTTACTTTTGTTTCTTTCTTCATCAATCCAAGAGCCTTGTACTTTCCACTAAAGTTCATGATCTTCATGCCCATAAATCTGTAAAGAATCTTTTGGTGGGTTCTGTGAACATTCTTGCTGAAGATAAGCTAGATTTATTGTAGTTGATCTATTGACTAGCAATGTTCTTGAAAAGAGTTGGTGCCTGCTTGACTGCCTGAAGAGAATCTAGAGACACCTTGCAAACTAGGAAACAGCCATCTGCAAATAACAAGTGAGTGAGGGGCTGAGAATTTCTGGCAAGTTTAATCCCTTGAAATCTACCTTCAAATTCTTCTCTTTTAAGAAGTTTGGAGAGAACCTGCATTTCTATAATGAAAAGAGTTGCCATTTAGTTTAATTGAGAAAGAAGCTGTAGAAATACATCAACTTATTAAGTTACACCATTTTTTCAAAAAGCCCAGTTTTCTGAGAGTTTCAATTAAAAAGCTCCACCCCATCCTATTAAAGGCCATTGTCATTATCAATTTTTAACACAGTCCATTTCTGTTTCCCTTTCTGATGCTTCAATTTATGGATTAACATTATTAAAAATGTTTCCTCCTTTTTTATGTATGCTGCCCTAATTTGGAGAGATTGATTTTGGCAAGAGAGGCTTCAACTTATTTGCCAGGACTTTAGCAATTATCATGTAGATGACATTACAAAATCTAATAGGACGGTAATGATCTACAGATTCAGCTCCCACCTTTTTTAGGAGTGAATACCAAATAAGTATGATTCAATTCCTTGAGCAAGAATTCACTGTTGAAAAAGTTGTGAATTAATCTTGTACGATCTACACCAAAGATTTGCCAGTATTTCTAAAAGAAGTAAGGGGCGAATCCATCTGGTTCTAGAAATTTATGGGGGTTGGTTTCAAAGAGGGCTGCTTTCACTTCAATTTCATCAAGCACTAGCATAGATTTGCTTTTTCTTCATCAGAGATGAGGGGAGAGATTAAGCCCTCCAAGAGATTAGGGTTAAATTCCTCCTCTTGGCCATTGATTAGTAAAGTGTGATTTCTAAGGATTTGTAACCATTGTTTCATCTTTTCTGTGATTGATTTGAAGGTAAAAAATCTCGTGTTTCTATTTCCATCTTTTGACCGAAACTACTAATATGATGTGTGATCTACAATCCAGGCCGAGGATAAATCAGTAATTTCATGAGATTAAGAAGGGCATTATTGAAACCGGGAATTTTAATTAAAAATAATGAGTGAAATTCTGGCCCCCCAATCATTGTCCAACTGGAACCGAGCACCAAACAGACAATAGAGAGCACCACCCGTGAGGTGAGTATGAGGTGGCTTCCGATTTTTTGTCTTTGCACTCGTGATACGTACTTAACTTACGGCGTAGGTCGGGGGTTCTATGAGGAGCAATGCGCTAGAGTACGCCGTGAGTGCTCAGTCTACGAAGTACACCTGAGTCTGAGGCGCAAAATCAGTGAGGTCTGTGAAGCTGAGTAGTTGAGTATGCACTCTCTCTCTCTCTCTGTGCAGCAGCAGCTGTGTAGGTCCCGCCTTCTCCGAAAGATGAAAAGGTTTGTTTAATTGCTTCACCTATTTTAACAAACAGATGGATGGAACCGCCGACACCAGCTTCCGTGTGAAACAAATCAACCCTCTTCTAACCAGAGTTTTTAACTTTTTAAAAACGCAGAAACGAATAAAGTGAGATGTTGAGAACTCTGTGTTTTTTTGTGGGTCAAAAGCTCTCTCCCCCCTTTCTCTCTTCTTTGTCTCTGACCCTCATGTAGAGAAACAGAGGTTTTAGAGATCTCTCAAGAAGCTGTAAGACCTTCTCTTTCACGTTTTCTTTGCAATGCGGTTGAAATCTTTGGATTTGATATCTTTTTGGTATTAGGGGTTTTGGATTTGTTTCCTAATTTGATAATTTCCCACCTCTGGACTGTGGTTATGTTCTGTTCCATGTGTGGRCTGTGCTCTGATCTGTTTTTCTTCTTCCTTTTACATTGATGTGCTTGCGTTGAGATTGGAGTTGCCTTTTGTTAGCTGAAATGCTTGCTGTTTATATGTTTCAGTGGACTTTTATTATTTGCTCATTTCTATATCCTTTCCTACCATCGTATTTTTTCTGGGCGATTCTGTTTTTCCATTGTTCTTAATTGTTTATTTGTTTAATTACCTTGTTTAGCGCTGGAGCTTAAACTGTCATTGCTCCACGTTTTTTACTTATGGAAACTTGTTGCAATAGTATGTTTTCTTTCTGGAAATTGTCTTTTAGGCTTTAATGGATATGCAGGATTTCTTGGAACGACCATGAATTAGCTTCAATTTGGAAATAAGTTTATTAGCAAAAAGTTCAACAGTCCGCACATGGAATTGTGCGGTTGGTTTATAGATTTTCTTTTTTCACTTTTTTCCGTTTCTAAGAAGTAAAGCAAGTAGCATCAGATCAGAATTGAACAGAAGTACAAATAACAGAGCTGAAGAAATGTATAAACAACCAATTAATGAAAGTAAGGATGGGAAAAGAAAAGATTTGTGGTGCCAATGGTAAAACAAGCCTTCCAAATTTCCAACGCTAGGAAGTTTGGTTTCTCTGCCGAACGTTCAAGATTCTGCTACTCCCTGTTGTTTTACTTCACTAAACATAGACTACCCAGTAGATGTTCTTTTACTCGTAATTTCCATCTGGTGCTTCTATCCTTGCTAGTTTAGTGAATACCATGCAAGATTAAATTGAAAAGGGGATCTTCTTCGGGTCTCCAATTATCCCAGAGAATTTTTCTGTCAATGTATCTGTGTGCTTGCTAAATAACCACCAAAAGTCACATGAGCCATTTGGCCCATGGCCTATAGGAGGCGYCTCTGCCTTGCATATTACAGCTATCTTGAGATAAAGAAAATTCCTTTTAACCTGTAACATTTGCTGCTTTAGATTTCAAGCTCTCTTAACCTTCTTTTTGGTTGAACTTACCACAAATACTTCTTTTTTCATGTTATCAAAACATCAGAATGCTATCTGAATTACTACTGTATAATGAGGAATATCTCATCACATCTTTCTTGTCTCCTTTCTTTCTAACATTTCTTCCTCAAACCCATTGTTTTCTCTCAAGTAACAACTGCTTGCCCCCGGCGACAATGTGTGGTTCTGCTTCCAGAATAATTTATAGATTTTTTTAGGGCAGGCCAGGGTCTCCTGCCAATGTGGGGTCTGGGGAGGYTGTTTCCAAGTCTAGAATAAGTTATAGATGGAGATAAAAAAAAAAAGAGAAAATCCTAAAAAACAAAACAAAAGGTTTTGGAAATTCTAGTCTTCTGTACTTCTAGTGGATGGACATTGCGACCAGACTGGATTTTCATTTTGTTAATGTTTTCTACATATTATAAAAGATTCCCTTTTCTCCTTGATATTATCAATATAATTTTTTATTAGTTCTTTTATTCATAATTATCTTTCTTTTTTATCTTATACACTTAGCTTTTGTCTTTGTCAATGCAATATGAAACTCCAGGAGGGCTTTGTTCAGTGACAACTCATAAACCAATAAATTATAGCAAGCAAATAAATATTCATGCCCTATCTAGACAGAGTTCTGTTTCACTCTAAAATTACATGTGCAAGATCCATGGTTAAATTATCTGAAAGAAAGAGTAGAGTTGATTGTTACTTTCCCTTATAATAATAATTAAAAAATAAAGTAAATCCATGGTTGTAACTGAAATTGAGTGAAGTAGGAGACATTATTTTGACTTCAAACCTGAAATCATCATCATTACTCTTTCATGATAGGTTTTAATACTCAAGTAGTTTCAATGGGATTTATTCTAATGTTGTCTTTTTTTCATGAATAATTCAATATAATCAGCAGTTTATTTCTTTGTATCTATTGCGGTGCAGTTTTGACATGGAAAAGTTAACACTTGGTTCTGAGACTGTAGACTCAGAGCTCTATTTAGCTCTGGGTGTGACTGAATCGGGCAAAGGAGTTACAGGAACCCACCGATTATTGTCTCTCCTGTCTTCACTTCTTGAGAGATCCGTTCAAAAGAATGAAAAGTTATTGGATTCCATGAAAAAGAAAGATGTGGTTACAGTTTTTCATGGCTTAAGAGCACCCACCCTGAGTATTCATCAATACATTGATCGCATCTTCAAGTACTCAAGCTGCAGCCCATCCTGTTTTGTTGTTGCATATATATACATGGATAGATTTCTCCAACGCACAGATATTTATCTCACTTCCCTCAATGTTCACCGGCTTCTAATCACTAGTGTAATGGTGGCAGCAAAATTCCTTGATGATGCGTAAGTAGTAATGCTCTCACTAGACAGACAGATACCCCCTCCCCCACCAGCTAACTATTTTGTAGTTGAATTGTCATACACATGGACCAAATAGGGGAAAAGAAAAACAAATGATGTGACACATGCATATTTGTCCTCGAAGGATCCTACTGTAATATGTAGAAACTTTCTGGAGGACTTTAATTGGATATAACCCAAAAAATGGGTTATGGGTTGAAGGACCACAGAGTTCATAATCTTGGGATCTATTAAGGCCTATGATTAAGAACTTGGTGACTGGAAGAAAATAAAGTTTCACTCTCGGCCTGTGCCCCAATAAAGCAGTGATAGATGATTTAATTTGTCTGTATCATAAGATTCATAACTGGAGTTAGTGATCCTATAAAATACAGAGGTGTCCAGAAATCAGTGTCATACATGGGTAGAGGTGTCAGGAACCTGGAAAACCAATGTGGTTGTACTGTTTGATTCGACATGTCAGCAAATATGTAATTCTGTCTCAGTTTGGAGGCAGTACAAATACAAACTTGTAGAGTGCAAAACCTTGTATTTTGTATTATTTTGTATGTATTTACACTGTACGCATTAGTATTTGTACTCCTTCCAAACTAAGCTTCTAGAAATAGATATGATAGGGTTATGTAGTAAAGCTGAATACTAAATATATGATACCATCATCTGTGTTATCACTTATCAGTGCAACTCAATATACAGAGAGTACAAGTTAATACCTTCTCCTACTTAGTTTGTTGACAATGTGCCATTTTTCCCTTGTATTAGAGTTGCTTTGCTTCATGGTCACAGCCCATAAATGTGATAGTCAGCTTCATTGAGTATTATAGGTCTATAAATTCCCATTGGACCTTATGAAATTTGTGCCATTGTTTGTGGTTGGTTAAAATTTTTCAAATACCCATTGCATCAGCTCAAGATAATTTGTACAAGGGAAGACAAATTGAAAGGTTTTTTCATTTTGATGCTGTTGATTCCTTAAAGTGGCATGTAAAATCATTGCCATGACTTCAATTAGGATGCATTCCGAGGGTCTCCAGCAATTTTAAATTCTAAGTAGCTTTGATTTTCTATTGCATTTGTATGGCACTCATTTAATTTTTAATTGGTTTTGGATGGGTAAACTAATTTGTTCGTTCATAAAAGGTGTTGATCAGTAGTATAATATCTGCTATTCAGCATATGTAGGATAGATTCTGTTAAAAACAAACTTTTGGAATGTTAAAACCTTAAAATTCTGTCATTAGTATGGCAGTGAATGCTAATAGAGAATAATACTCATAAAAAAAAATGCTAATAGAGAATACTTAAATGTCTCTTGGAGATACAGGTTAGCCATTCAATTAAAATTTATCCAAAATGCATCATCCATTCCAGAGCCTAAGCTTCAAAAATATGTCTCCAATTTGTGGAATGAGAAATCAGTGAAATTTCTCGATAGGTTCTCATCAAGACACTTTTGGGATCAAATAGTATGAATTTCAGACCAGATGCAACTGTCTTCTCATCCAGAAATTAAATTTATAGATGTTAAAACTCTATATCCTTCTTTGTATTTCCAAGTAATATAATATACATCATGGGCATTACATTGCAGAACACAGAATTCTCAAATATTGCAAATGGTCGAGAAAAGAAGACCTTGATCAGGAAGAATAAGCTTCAACCTCGAAAATATTCTGTTCATTGGTTGTCTATACTGTACTGCATAGAATATTTTATTAGGGATAGCCGGATAGGAGGTTTTCTGTGGTTAGCTGAKATATGGCATCAGTAGGGTTTTTACTTCTGAAGCAGTGGTTAATCTGTAAAAGGCCTCTTGTCCTGGGATTTAGTGGGACAATGTTTGCAAATTTAAAGTATCAGAATCTAGTTTTGTAAAACTACTTGTTAGAGAGTCCTTTATGTTGGTTTTGGTTTTCCTTTGGTCTGAACCATAGCATACCATTGCGGAAACTGCAGATTCTTCAACAATGCCTATTATGCCAAAGTGGGAGGAGTAAGTCTTGCAGAGATGAACAGGTTGGAGATGAAGTTCCTATTTACTTTGGATTTCAGACTCCACGTTACAGTGGAGACTTTCAAGTCTTACTGTTTGTTATTGGAGAAAGAAGCTGCTGGAGGGTATAAGATCGAGCGGCCGATCCAGGTCTGCAGGTTGAAGGAAAGCTGGCCAAAGAAGGATGAGCCGAAACATGCAACCACGATTGCGAGATACAGTTGTTAGTCATATGTAATACAGATTCTGTATGTCAACTTTATTTTGTTTATCATTTGTGTTAGAAGTCAAGTAACGATGTCAAATATGCTTACATTTGTAGTCATATGTAACAGGTTACTACAGTCAGAGCAATTGACTGCAGACTTGATTGCATCTTTTGGTGCGCTCTCTCTCTCTCTCTCTCTGTTAACCTGACCTCATTGGTCATGTCCGACTTCGAGTGGGTCATAGACATGGTTTAATACAAGGTTTTAAACCGAACCAGACAGGGAACCATTCTGGGTCCGGYTCCTGGGTTAAACGGTCCAATCATCCTGTCCGAATGGGTGACCTGCTCTGACAAAAAAATAAAGAAAAAAAAAGAAAAATGGCCAAAAACTGTTCCCAGGTCGAACAGTTTGATGGTTCAACCACCTGGGTCAGTGGTTTACTGACTTAAATCAACAGTTTTTTGCTAAATAGCAGTTTTAGGGTAAAACAGAACCGGTCAGGTGATTGGTTCCCGGTACAGCAACAGGAGCCACAAAACTCTTTGATGAATTCAGATATGGGATGTGTAATTTATTTTTACAGCTAATTATACACATCCTGCATAAAGGCTTAAACCGTGCAAGTTGCAATTCTGTGGAAACGGAACCTTGCTTCCTCAAAACTTGCCACTCGGCTGTGGCAAATTATCGGAGCTGGAGGTGCCGGTGTCAAAACCAAATTTGAAGTTCGATGGTATACGAGTTTCATGAATGGGATAATTGGTTTGATTCAGGTCATTTGGCTCCCTCCCGTATGCCCGCTTTGGTTGCAGCTTGCTAAAGCACAGGAGGACAAAGTTGCTTGTTTCTTCAAGTTCACTCTCGGAGTCTCGGGTGGATTGGTGGAGGTCAGAGTCAGACGATTGTCAAAACCACATCTCCGACACCACTTGGCCCGAATTGTTTACAACTTTGGTGTCGTCTCCTCTCTGGGACTTGGGACTTGGTCTTTGGGAGGCCTTTGTTCGAATTCACCATCCAAACAGCAAGAATTTCCCAATGGCAGGAAAATAATTAAATAATAACATTTATATGTGTTTGATTCCATTTATATTTATTGAATAAACATTTATAAAATCGAGAAATGCAATAATTATAATCATTTATGACAACTAAATACCACTAGACACCATTAGGTGCCACATCATCATAACAGTGAATAAACGCCTGGCTGTTTGTGAAAGCTTTAAAAAATAACTTTCACAAACGACTGGTATGCATAAAAACCAAAATTCACTTTTTACATCTTAGATGCATGCAGAAGAGCAAAAGAAAAAATGCTGAAATGGCACCAATGTGGCACCACCAATAAACATTTACTGAACAAATGTAACGGAAACCAAACACCCTCCTTATTAAGGATAAACTCCATAAATCCCCTCGGACCAGAAAAATGGAGATTCGGCAGTTAGGTGAAACGCCCCCCATAGGTCATAATTTACCTTGTTATTAAACGATACATTTGTGGGTACAATTATACAAATGATACTCTGAAGTCTAAATTTATATCTTTGAATTATTTCTGCCGATTTTTATTTGGGTTTTTGGTTCCTAACTTGGTAACTTCCTATGTATCCCCATGCCCATCTGAAATTTCAACCAACAAGCCAATAAGAAAATAGCATCATTTCAAGAGATGATGGTTGTTAAAGAATACATAAATGAAATCATTCCAGAATTCCAAAAATCATACCCACTTATCAAAAAATCCAGTTTCAACTTTCTAAGCTCGAACTCGAACGGGTCATTTTTGCCAAACTGCCATTATGATCTAATTTGAACCTTACGGACAAGAATCCATCCGACAATCTCTACCCTTTCTTCATCAATTGACGCATAATTAGACTTTCTAAAGGATATGATCTGGAGTGACTACATTGAAGAATGTCATTTTAAGGCAGATGTATTCTCTATTTCTCATTGCCGAGGGGACTGGAATATATTTACAAATATGAAAGCTGATTTGTTGAACATCATTAACATCAAAATAATGATCTCACAAAAACAACGGATACAAGAAAAATCCCATGTTGTATAGTCAGAACAATCAGAAAAACAAAATGAAACGTACATTCACGATGTGATTTAGCAAACATGAGAGCATTTTCTTGAAAAAACAGGAATAATTCGTCCCAATAATCGATTACAAACGACAAGCAACAGATACATAGAAAGGGGCAAGGACGAAAGATACAACATCTCATGCCAAAGAGCAATGGTTTGGGGAATGGGGCAACCAAAGCCATTCTCAAAATGAACAAAGCTCAAAGACACTATTAGGCGGTAGCTGATTTACAGCTTATAGATAAAAATCATTCAAGACACTATATGCTAAATATATCATCACTCAGGTAGGTAGTTCCAACCAGGGACTCAGAGTCTCAAATCAAAAGGAGAGGAGAACAAGAATGTGGTGAAGTTTTCCATTGCTTTGGTGGGGGTGTAGCTCATGGTTTTGGGTAATGACTAATGAGAAATCGAGGAGATAGACAACTAGAAACAAAGAAGGGTCGTGATATCCAGGAAACGAAATAATCCTGTAGATTGGACCTAGCAGTCTGCAAATCAATTCAATTCTTAGAGAGGTTGGTCAATCACATAGATGGTTGTCTTTCATAATCAGATACCTTGATTTCCAAAGGAATAAAAGAATCTAGGTCGTTCGATCCAATATAGACGCATTCAAGCGTTGATTGTTACGCGTATAGTCAAGCTAGGATTTTACTTGTCCCAAAACTAGTGAGCTCGATAGTAGAAATTCTAAACCTAATCATTTCTTTTAGATTCTAAACCCTAAACTCTCAGAAACTCAAGAACCAGATCAGATTTAATCCAGAGGACATAATATATCTGCAATTTCCCTAAATCATACTTATACTCATTCGATCTAATGTAGATGCATTATAGGGTTGATAGCTACCGTACAGTCAAGATATGAATTTCCATGTCTCAAAACTAGTGACCTCGAAAGCAGAAACCCTAAACTAATCATTTACGGTTAGATTCTAAACCCTAAAGTCTCAGAAACACAAAACCACCAGATCAGGCTTAACCAAAACAGGAGGATATCACATATCTGCAACTTCCTCTAATCACAATGATACTCATCCACGAGAAACATTCAGAGAAGAATTAGTAGAATACTCAACTACCACTGCAAGTAAACATAAATAGCAATGAAACAAAACATCACTTTGATACGGAATTCTAAACTCTAACATTGCATAATTAAAGTACTATACCATCCAATGTTCAAAAATTTCAAACTCAAACAAACTCCATAGCATAATGTCACTGGATCGTTCCTTAAAGAAGCCCTAACCGATACGAACCAAAAAGAGTGAACCAACGATTCGACTCCAGTAAAGTCTCAGAAACACAAAACCCCCAGATCAGGCTTAACCAAAACAGGAGGATATCACATATCTGCAACTTCCTTTAATCACAATGATACTCATCCACGAGAAACATTCAGATAAGAGTTAGTAGAATACTCAACTACAACTGCAAGTAAACATAAATAGCAATGAAACAAAACATCACTTTGATACGGAATTCTAAACTCTAACATTGCATAATTAAAGCACTATACCATCCAATGTTCAAAAATTTCAAACTCAAACAAACTCCATAGCATAATGTCACTGGATCGCTCCTTAAAGAAGCCCTAACCGATACGAACCAAAAAGAGTGAGCCAACGATTCGACTCCAGAAAGAGAAGTCTCTCCAACAGCAAACCTCGTTCCTCAACGGTATGATTTCTGGAACCTCGCACGAGCACCCCGCCCACCGAATTTCTTGGGCTCGCAACGCCGAGGATCCGCAACAAGCAGTGTTCGGTCGTACCTCACCAGAATGTCTTTGATCTCCTTCTTCGACTGTTCGTCTACGTACTTCTGGTAGTACGCAACCAACGCCTTGGCGATGCTCTGTCGAATTGCATATATCTGCGAGGTGTGCCCACCACCTCTTACTCGGATTCGCATATCGACGCCGGAGAACCGGTGCCTACCGAGCAGAAGAATAGGCTCGAAAGCTTTATAACGGAGGATCTCCGGCTCCACCAACTCGATCGGACAGCCGTTAATCTTGATCAGACCCCTCCCGCGCTTGCAGTAGGTAACGGCGACGGCCGTTTTCTTTCGACCAAAACATTGAACGGACTCTATCGGCGTCGCCATGGATGTACTCCTTCCCTCTTCTCCGCCTCTCTCTCTTAGCTATGCTCCTTCCCTCTTCTCCGCCTCTCTCTCTTAGCTATGCTCCTTCCTCTCCTTTCTAAACCCTAACCCTAAAATACAACAATCATGAGTGATGATATATATAGTATCCGAACTGGGATTTGCTCCTTACAGAGCGCTCTGCATATCGACATCACAGCCACATGTTACCGTCTATTGGTAACATCTTCGATATTTAATAAAATACAAATACGAAGATGTTCTCGATGTGCGGTTGGAACATGTTCTGAAATCGGTGTGAGTAGATCTGGATTCATAGTATCCGACTCTTACAAGCGAGATTTCGATTTACAGGATTTGGTTATTTTTTTGGATAGGGGGCGGCCAGGCGGGTTCAGACTTGGTTTACAAAATTTGGAATGAAAACGGATCGGATCGGATTCAATACTGTTTATGATGGATCCGATTGGATCTGATATGACTCAATCTGAATTCGAAACCTATTGGATTGATTTGATTCAATTTGTTTTTTTAATTAATAAACTATTAAAAATAAAATAAAGTATACTAATTTAAATAAAGAAAAAACAAAAGATACAAGTATTTTTTAATTATTTTCACCATATATATATGTTTTTTATAAAAAAATAAATAATATAACAAATTTATAAAAATACAATATAAATAATATATTTATAAATAAATAAATAACATATATATATATATGTATATATATATATTTATAAATATATAACACATCAGATTGGATAAGGCATAGGGGTGATCCGAATCTGACCCTTAGGATTTGATCCAATCCAAAGATTCAACCGGGGGGATCTGAATTCAACCATATATATTTATATATATATTCTCCATTTTTATGCCATATCGGTTTGAAGGAAATGGTAAAAAAAGGTGGGGAAATCTATATAAAATAGGGCTGCAACGGATGGGGACGAATGGGATCATATCTACCAAATATCTAGTGGATTCAAATTGAATTCTGATTATAATCGAATATTAAATAGTACAAATAAATTAGACTAAAAATGACCAAAATATTATATATTATTAATAAGATGAGTAAAAATGACTTTAATAATATATTTTATGAACAAAATGAATTAAAAATTACTTGTATAAAACTTTAACATTTAGTGAAAAATATAACATTAAGCCCAACTTCAATGATATAATATAATTTTTAAGTATATATAAGTGAATATATTTAAATCAAATCGAATCGAATTATATCAGATCAGGTAGAGATATATCCAAAGGGAGCGTTTGGAAATGCTGAGTTAAAGATTCAGCTAAGCTGATTTTATTGTTTTTTTTTTTTTTTTATAATCCAAAGTTGATTTATCTGCTTTAAAACGCTCCCAATAAATTATTTAAAAAAGTTGAAGAAGACAACCTTCAAATAACCAACTGATAATTGATTTGGGCTCTTCCGAATTTTCACTTATTAGATGTCAGGTTTTGGCTTTGTTTGATGAAAAGTCTAAAAAACCCAAAAGAGTACAGGCTCAAATAAAAATTCGCAAATATTATAATTCATGTGAATTGAGCATGTCCAAATGCTCAAAATAATAATTCATGCAATTTCAATTCATAACTCCCCTCCCTTCAATTACAACAATCCAATACACCTAAGGTTGTGTTTGGTTTGATAGAAAATAAAAGAGAAATAAAAAATTAAGAATTTTGTGAATTTACTTTTAAAAAGAAAAACTTTCCTTCATATTTTTGTTATTTTATATCAAACCAAACATAGCTTAAAAGGATTCTAGTTTTCAGTTATGATGTACTCCAAATTATGGGATTACTTTTTGGTGTAATGGTAAAATCTCATGGCTGACAGGCTTGAGAATGTATGTCATACAAACACCGAGTCCCATTGCTGTGTTGTAATGAAGGCTGCAACTTTGGCGGGTCTGGAATGAACATTCATCAAAATCTTTGATGGGCCAAATTGGGTGCCCAATTTGTTTCTATTTTCCATAATTTAAACATTTTTTTTATAGATGGAGAAATCAATTAAAAAGGGGAATGATGCTTGGAGAAAGAAAAAAAGAAACAAAACAAACTAGAGTTAGAAACATCCATCACATGACCCAAGCTTGCCAACCTGCCTGCTACGGAGTTCCCTTCTTTGAATGCATCCACAGAGGCTGTTGATGATGATATTTGAAATTTTGAATCGCCCTCTATGATGACAATGCTTCCAACACGACCCATGCTTCAGCTTCATTTATCGAACATTCGCCCAACCCATGAGAGGGCCTATCACATTTCAGATCACACTAATTGGATAGAAATTCTTAGATTTAATTTCCACTCCTTGAGAGTTCTGGCTATGGAAGACCAGAGTTGGTGCTAATACATGCAATACTAATCAAAGGATATTGGAGTTCCACAGTGAGCAGTCAACATCAATTTTTGAAGTGCACAAACAGTTCAATATCAGGTCTCCTCATTTGGGGAGATTGATGATATATTTTCCTTCTTTTTGAGAAAAGAGTTTATATTTGATTAATTAGTTTCAATTACGAGGAAAAAAAAAATAGAATGGGTCCAGCTCCCTCAGAGATTTCAGATGCCATTTGATGAAGGTAGATTTGGCCCGACCCCTTGGCTGTGCGACACATGAAAGTAACCGGGTATGACCTAATAGGAGCGTTAGCTCGACACAGCGACATAGCCATATCCCAAGAAGAGGCCCGAGCTCCCCAAGGAGAGGCCCCGAGCTCCCCAAAAGGAACCCACACTTCCCAAGAGGTAGAACCCGAGCTTTCCCTAGAAATCCCGAGCCTTACAAGGAACCCCGCGAAAGGCGAAGCTCGAGGTGACCCACCTCGGGTCAGTCCGGGCCACACCCCGGCACCTCGGGTCAGTCCGAACCCATCTCCTACCCGAACTCAAGACTTCACCTCGTGCACCACCCCAACACTTCGGCTCCAGGTCGCAAGACTGAATAACTGTACCTGACAAAGAAGTTCGTAATCTGAGGCGGTGCACCTGACTGATCAGGGATTTAACAAATGACAACCGCACTCCAACGGCCACCTGCTACCGCCATCTCAATTGTTACAGAGACGGCCCTAACAAAGAAGATAGTGGCGGTTATGCCTGCCCCTCCCACAAAGACAGTTACACCTGATCTAGCAGAGGCTTGGGAGTGAGTGCACTAGGGTAGTTATACCTTTTGATGAATTAGGACAGGCGTGGGTCTTTCCGTGTCCAGATATGCTTTCGGTTGTTGGCCCGAACCATTTTTTTCAAATTTCAATAGCCAATGGCCCAATGGGTGACTCTAAATTTCTATGGAAGGGCATTAACTAATTTGTACCCTTGGTAGGTTTATCAACCCGTGCCTGGGCTCAACCCATATCCAAATGACCAAACTCTATAGAAACATTGTTTGCTTTAATTGGGTGTGTCAATGGGTTCGGGTCCTTTGGGTCAGGTAACTGAACCATCGCATCAAATGACCGGTGGAAATCTGTTAATGAAAAGGAGAAAGAACAGATCTGTAGATAGACATACTATAGAGGAGAGGGTATACAAGTATGCAACGAATATAACTAACTACTAAAACCCACATACTAATCAGAATAGCTCGATTGGCATGTTAGCTGGGTAGTCCTAGCAGAGACGTGGATTAGGGTTTAGTCTGTAGGCCTAAAAGCCAGGATGCCCAGCATGGGCTTATTTAAGAACGGGCCTACGCCTGCAATTTCAGTTCCAACAAGTGCATCGGGCCAAAACTGAATTTACACAGATGTCCTAAACCATGTGCTATGCCCAAAAAGCAAAAAAACATTTGAAGTAGCATTTTTCAGATAAACGTTTATCTAAAAAAACACCTCTCAGGAAAATCCCACGGAACCAAACATACGCTAAATGTGTATGGATTTTAATTTCCATTGAAATATGTATAGGAGATGAAGAGTTTTTGGATGGGCGGCAAACCACTAAGGAGTCATTTTACAACACGAATTGTTTTTCTTGTTACTGGTTCTAAAATCAAGTCAAAACAATTTCATTTGAAAAGATATTGTTTCTTAAAATAAAAACACAAAAAACATGTTCTTGGTTGTGTATATTTTTTGTTTTTAAAACTAAATTCAAAAACATGTTCTTGAATCTGGCTTCAAATACATGTTTTGATCTGATTATTCAATACCATGTTACAAATGCAAATATGTACAGTATAAATACAAATGCAAATAATACAAAATAATACAAATGCAAACAAAATAATACAAACAATTTGCATTTGTACAAATGCTAGTTGCATTTTTGAACCAAAGGCTTAGTTGCATTTTTTGAACCAAATGCAAATATGTACAGTATAAATACAATGCAAATAATACAAATGCAAACAAAATAATACAAACAATTTGCATTTGTACAAATGCTACCGAACACCCCCTCCCCTTAAAGGAGCAATTTTTGAACCAAAGGCTTAGTTTGGAAGGAGTACAAATGCAAATATGTACAGTATAAATACAAACAAAATAATACAAAATACAAGGTTTTGCACTCTACATATTCGCATTTGCACTCCTTCCAAACTGAGCCAAAGAGACAGGAAAACAAAAAAGAGTCTCATGACAAGAGTAGGTTAGAGTATCCGATTAACAACTACACTGCATAACAAGAATTACAACAGTTAAGCATGGGCCTGTCTTGAACAGCCAGCCCTGCAACCGAACATGATCTATACGGAGATAAAAGTTAAATATGGCATTTTCCTTTCACCAAAGTTGAATTTGGTGTTTTCCAAAGAACACATGAACCATAACATGCTAGTTGTTGGTGGCATAATAAACAGATTAAAAATCTTGTAACTGTCCACAACTTTCCACCTCTTTGTAATTTTCAGAGTAAAAGTAAAAGAACATGCCAATTATCATACTTTAAAAGCTACGTTTTTTTTTTTTTTGGTAGTGGAAAGTTCAACACTAAAGGTAATAAAGAGTATATGGAAATTACAAAAAATAGGTATTTTAGCATATTTCATATGAGTAATTTACAGAGGCATTTCCTTGAATTTCTTGGAAAATTTGGTAAAAATCTCAGGCTGAAGCATGAGAACATAGGTTGGAGTATAAAAGTGGCCACTTTGTGTGGAGGACAAAAAAAAAGGTCAGGTCAATATGTAGTCCATACCCCAGATAACTGGGAACAACATTGGATAATGCCCTTATTTCTTTCAATTTCTATTTGTATTTTCGAGCATCACCAAGTGTTTTTCCTTTTCCTAACCAGCAAAAAATCTTGTGAAGATGTCAACACATGCATTAGGAAACAAGAAAAGGAATCAATTCCTGGAACCAAAGCCAGAGTAAGAAAAGGGGCATAGGTACCACACCTTACCATTAGGTCCATTACCATTGAATTTGTCCAAGGCAACATTAGGTAGTTAGCATCTATCTATACTCCATCTAGATTGTGGTATCACTAGCTAAAGAACAACTTCAAATATATACCAGGAAATGACCGTTGACAATTAATCATCAAAACCAATCTACATGTTGTGTGGAAGCTTTTGGTTGCTTCTTGGGTTTCTGATACCTGTTGTTCTCAAATTGAGCTTTAGTAATGAGAGAATAAAGCAAGTCTGCCTCCGCCGAACTGTTATAAGTCATGCACAAGATACTGCAACAATGAAAATAAACAAAGAAAATGAGAACAAGAATTTTAAAACAATATACATCATAAGTTGAAATGCTCAAGAATTCATAAAAAAGTGTGGCAAAAATAAAATACAACCTTTCAAGTAGCTCCTCAAGAATAATTCTTTGAGAAGGTGTGACATAATGAATACAACTTCTTGGGCACTGGCTAACTGCAACCTGGACTTGGTAATCTTCATCATGACCTGCTAAAAATATAAATTGTTGTTACTGAAATGAAACAACTGCTGGAGGAAGGTAACTATGAGTTAAAATAAAATACAACTGCAACCCTGAAATAGAAAATCATGTATTTCAATTCAAGATAGTGAGCCTGTCCAAGCTAGAGGGTTCCACCACATTTCCCTTACCTCTTCCAAATTAATTAGCATACAGGATGGCCACCCTCATCATATGTATGCTCATCGGCTCATCCTTGATAACTTAATATAGTTCAATGCAGTTCTCATGAGTCTAAGGCAGTAGTGTGGCCATTTTTCTGAAGATAGATGCCTGACTTTCTATCCTGCTTTCCTCGTTAGGGCATCTTTGAGATCTTCAAATGGGTAATTCTAACATTCAGGTGTTAAATATCTTCACATAACCTTTTCCAGCATAAAGGGGGATTATCCCCTTTGTAATTCAACTTGATTTAAACTACCCCTTCATGCTTGTTCCTTGACATAGTGCAAAGCATGTATTCTACAGGCATACATGAAGAACACTATATAGTGCACGTGTAAAGAGCTATCCATGAAATAGAAACTTAGAAAGGATGAAGTCCGACCTTGAGAAGTTACACGTGCAGTACCAGTTGAAGACATGAATGAGAAGGCATGAGGTGCTGTTTTTACGCAAGAATAAGGGCATCCTGCAAAAAGTAGATAAAAGGGAAGAGTGAAAATATTTAAGCACCAAGCAATGGATGTGATTAACTTTTTAACCAATAATGTCAGCCCTCTATGTAGACAAAGAATCAACCAATGGAAATGATTCTTCACTATGTGAGATGTACTGCAGTTATTCCTTCAAAGTTGTATGAAGGAGCTGTATGACAAATTAAACAGGAAAAAACAGAAATAGAATGAAGCATTTGATACCTTTCCCAAGACAAATAGACTCATTGACAAATAGATCCAATGCCTCACATTCTGGCTCATCAAAAGGATCCAAACTCTCCCTGCATGTGCATCCAGTGGTCAGAGCAATGTATAAACTGACTCAAAATGAAACAACGAAAACTAATCCAAAATTCTATATTGAATGGTTGAAAGGATTAGATAAGAAAAAGAAATCTCGATGAGCATAAAAATGGACCAAGCATAACAGAACAATATTAGTAGACCTTAACATACAATCACAGAAACCACCAACTTTTCCTTTGCAATGCGGTGGGGAAATGGTTAAAAACAATTCAGGAAGGCCGAAAACCTGTTAGTAGAACTCGGGCACTGATCCTGAGCCGACATTATAAAGAGGCCTCCCCTTGCCACTCATCCAATGAGAGCGTTTGGATATAAAAGAAAGAACCCAAAGCAGAATCGTGTATATAGCACGAAAGATTCAAAAATTTAAGCACAATCAACAGTTATTTGCTAAAATCAAGGATCAAAAGGAGGTTTAACATTCGCACATTCTCCAATTTACTAATCAAACTCGATACCCAATTTACCTCAAAGTAGTCTCAGATTGGTGGTATTTCGACAACATCTGCACCCATAATTAAACAGTAGTATTTTGTGAATCATTTCAATCACTTTGCTTTTAATAGAAGAGTACTGAAACCTACCAAGGAAACAACTAGAAATCAAGCAAAACATTTGAGACCCATCCATCTTGTTCTAAACAACGCTTGATGTGTTGTTACAATCAGTAATCAGCAATACCTCGTATGCCTGAATCACCCGTCGGATCATTGTATCCGAGTCCCTAGCATCTTTGCAAACGTCGGGATGAAACTGCTTTACCTGAGTTTTACCAATAATAATAGAAACCAATCATGGAAACTTGCTTTCTAGCTTTTCAAAAACTGAAAGGAAAGGGAGGGGATTAAGGAATTATTAGAATAGTACACGTACTTTGGTTCGGAAAGCAGCTTTGATGTCAGCCGGCGAGCAGTCTCGGTCGACCCCGAGAACGTCGTAGGGGGAGGTGGTAGAGAGCCAATCATCTTCACCTACACTCGCTTTGCAGTTGACAGTGAATCGAGATATTGAAGAAGAAGGGAAGAAAGTTGGTTTTTGGGCTCCCTGTGCAGGGCAAGGAAACTGAAAAAGAGAAGGGAAACGAAGGCCGTGTCTGGTGCTGGTAACGGCTTTTGAGAAGGGAACTAGCTGAGCGCTTGTACCTGAGAGGAACATCCCCTTCTCTCTCTCTTTCTCTCTCTCTCGCTCTCGGCTCGCCCGCCCTTGTATGGTTGGTGGCATATGTGTAAATGAGCAGACAGCCAAAAAAAGTATGTGGTCTACGTGCGTGCATCAAAAAATACAGACCACATTCGAATCCTCTACTGGCCCACTGAGGCTTTGCCGATTCAACTGGCTCATAGAATATCATAAATCCTCAGAAAACAGAATATATTACATCTACATAATAACAGTTAACAGAGCTCGCTCGTGTTCTATGAACCCTGAATCCTCTTCAGAATATATTCACCCTCTTCAACAAGCATCCCACCGGAATCAAGGTAGCGCTGCTGCAATTCCCCTCCCTCTCTCTCCTTTTTATTCTTCATTTCTTTCGGTCTTCTCGCTCTTTGGTCTCCCCTGCTACAACGGAGACGGAGTCTTTCCCAAATCACCATTGGCTGTGCATCCCCTTCCTCTCTCTTCTTGCCCTTCTAATCATTAACCACTTCCCACTAGTCATTCCCTCTTCTCTTCATAATCATAACCACACAGAAATCTCAAGTCAATCATGCGCATCTTAATTTTCGTAATGACAAAATAAGCACTAAGAAAACGCAAAACAATCTATTTAACCTTTCCTATTACGGTTGGTTTGTTGCTGTTAAAATCTCCTTTCATATCTTCAACACCTTCACCCACCACAAAACGATTAAGAACGCAATGTCTAGTCTATAAAACAAACAGAGCATATTCTCAAATTCTGAGTTGAAAACCCCAATAGTCTAAGCAGGGTTGGAAAGACGAAACCCAAATAACCGAATTCAATCGATAAAATCAAAGGAAATTTTGCATTAAACCTGAGAGGGATGGGGAAGAGCCATGTAAAATCCACAATTAAACAAAAAAAAAAACAATTAAAAATGACGAATCAGACTGCTGCTTTTTTCTTTTTCTTTTCTTTTTTCACAGTAGAATGATATGCTGGAATGACTTTACCCTTACGAGCAAAGCAAGCAAAAAGATGGGCCATTGGATTTAAATGTCTATTTACATCAATAAGCAAGAAGGATTGAAAACTAAGCAGCAGCCTCCGGATGTGAGCCCAATGCATCTGTTCTACCCATGAACTTGGTTTGGTGTGAATTGTGAAGAGATTAACTAGTTTTTGACAATCAGAATATATTGTTATATCAACTATATTGGCTGTTGAAGCTGCTTCTAGACCACTAGCTAAGGCACGAAGCTCTGCATCATAACTTTCTACGGCCCAACAACTTCTTCCTTCAGCTATTGTGAAGTTTCTATTGGTGTCTTCTTGTCCTGCAGCACCTGTGTTTGGGTTAAATGAGCCATCTATGTGAAGAGTAGCACAATCCCCTACACTGATCATGTTAATGCATTGTTCTTGCACACCCCTTGCCAATAGATTGCTATCACCAGAGATGTAGTATTTGGCTTTGCTTATTATATCAAAAGGCACCATCTCAAATCCATCAAATATTTTCTTGTTGTGTGCTTGCCATATTAGATATACCATCACACAAAATTTCCCAAAGTAAGAAGAGATTTCTTGCTTGGTCATTTGAAGTTGCAAAGACCTAAGCCACTCTTCAACTAAGAGTTGCAGAGGTTGCATCACCATTGCGTCTGGATTAATCCCAATCTATGCTTCACACCAAATAGCCCTAGCATAAGAGCACGTGAAGAAGAGATGATGAAAAGTTTCTTGTTGTTGTAAACAAAAACAACAAATTTGATCATGTGGAGATAGCCATTTAGCACACTTGTCCTTTGTTAATACACCATCCCATAACGCTTTCCAGACAAAACCTTGGCATCTATAAGAGATCTTAAGCTTCCAAAGCAGATTCCAATTGAAGTGAGGGGCTGAAGGAGAAGGCAATAATGAGAGAAAACTTTTATACACAGATTTAACTGCAAAAACCCCAGAATTGGTTCTTTTCCAAATCATTTGGTCCCTTACTAGATCTGTCTGAGGTCTTATTCGTGTGATGTGACTCATTGTAGCCTCATCAAAGAAATGTTGTAGCACTCTTAGATCCCATGTATATTCCCCACTTAAAAGGTCTGCTACCTTCGGCTTCAAGGTGTGTGACTCACATGTAGGACTTGCTATCGGTACTCCACTTGGAATAGTTGGTACCCAAGGATCATCAAAAGCTGATATAGATGAGCCATCTTTTACAATCCATAGTAGATTTGGCTTTAAATCAACTAATCAACTATGAGCTTGTTTCCACCATTTAGAGCTTTGCTGCCCTTTCTTTGCCATGAAGGGATTACATTTAGGAAAATATTTTTCCTTAACTAGTCGGCGCCATATACTGCTCTGTTGTGTAAACAACCTCCATATCTGTTTGTTGAACATAGTTTTATTCATTAATAGGCTCTTCTTGAATCCTAATCCTCCGGCTGCTTTAGGAAGACATAATTTTTGCCATGAGATTGTGTGCTTAACACTATGTGATTCAGCTTGCCACCAAAAGTCCCTTGTGAGCTTATCATATTGGGTATGAAATGTATTAGGAAGAATCATAAATGCCATTGAATAATTTGGAATGGATTGTATGACTGACTTCACTAATGTGGTTCTTCCCGGTTGAGAAAGTAACTTTGAGCTCCATGAATTAATTCTAGAGTGTATGCGGTCCAACAATTCTTTATTGGAAATCTGATTTTTGGCATTTATTTCCACTCTAGAACCTAGATATTTAGTGCCCCACATGCATTTACTCACCTTGATAACTTTGGAGAAGAACTTTTGATGCTGACGTGGTACATTTCTGCTAAACATCAAGTTTGGTTTCCCATAATTGATTCTCTGGCCTGATGTCTTCTCAAAGTTGTGAAGTATTTGTCTGAGGGCCTTGATTTGCGGTAGATCAGCTTTACAAAAAAGCATGCTGTCAAGAAAAGAGGGAGAAGTACCAATCAGCCCAGATCAAAATTTATTAGGCCCAAAGTACAGGGAGAATGCATCTGACTGTGAAGGCAGGATGTGGTTTATAGGGGGGAGAGGGCTAGTTGTAGGGGGGGGCGGCTGGAATTCAGAATTCTGCATTGTGTGCTTCCGTACTTTTCCCAAGAAAAGATGTGTGATAGGTGTGCCATCATGACATAATTTGGTACCTTCTATGAGACCTGAATTAGGCGCATTGTTTAGAAATTAGGTGAGAACCTCCATGCCAATAATAAATAAATAAGGCAAGAATAGGTCTCCTTGATGAAGGCCTCCTTTTGAGATGAAAGTAGCCATGGGCTTCCCCTCCTAATTTGATGGGAAAAGAGGGAGTGGAGATGCACTGATGTATTAGATTGTACCATTTACTGGGAAAATTCATTTTATGTAGAGTCTCTTGTAAAAATTCCCACTCCAGTCTATCAAATGCTTTCAACATGTCAAATTTGAGGGCTATGTATCCCTTACCTCTTTTCTGAGCTTTCATCATATGTGCAACTTCCCTTCCCTTACTAGAAGATTGTTGTCAACAATTTGCCTCTCCTTTAAAAACTTGTCTTAAATGGTGAGATAATCTCCTGCAGCATTGGTTGTAATCTCATGACTAGCCATTTGGAAATGATCTTGTAGAGCACGTTGCAAACGCTAATTGGCCTGTAACTGGCTGCATCCATTGGTTGGTTGTTCTTTGGAACAAAAACCAAATTAGTATTATTTATCTCCTTAGGTAAAAGCTCAAAATTGAAGAAATGACCACCATGTTATAGATATCGTTTCCTATTGTATTCCAGTATTGTTGGTAGAAGAAAGCTATAAATCCATCTGGGCCTAGGGCTTTACGAGGGTGCAGCTACCGAGACTTCTTCATAAGTTGGTGGTTGCATCAATGAGATCACATGGTTGTTTTGAAGCTGAGGGAGAGAGAGTGTCTAATGATGAGGGATCAAAATTTTCATCCACTCCTCCAACTTCCAAAATGATATTCTTGAAGATTTTTGCTATTTCAACCTTGTTGGAAGTCCAGGTATCGTATGCTTTTTTTTATCCATTCTATATTATTTTTTATATTCTTGCTGAAAGAATTTGATGTTCTTGCCTCCATCCCTTAGCCAGAGAGCTCCCTTGAGTTCAACCTCTATAATTGCTCATCTTTTCCTAAGCTAGTAGTAGTATTCTTGTACAAGGAGGTTTAATTGGTTTGAGTCTGCGTCGGAGCCTATGCTCATTTGGAGACTAGAGATGTGACTTGAGAGCCTTTGGAGTTGGTCTTGTGTGAGACCAAATTTTTTTTGTTGTTTACATTGTTTCAATTTTGAAATGATTTGAAAAGCTGGGGTACCACTCATATAATTTTCCCATATGTCAGAGATGGTCTTTAAACAATCTGGATGCTCAGACCAAAAGGGGAGGAAATGAAATTGAGACCTAGTCGATGGACATATGTCTGTGGAGAACTGGTTGAGGGAAAAGGTGTGTCCAGCTTGTGGTTGCTAGAGCTCAGTCTAATCTCTTCCATTAAATGATTTTGGATAATCTTGGAGTTGAATGACGAAATTTTTTTTTTGATCATGATGAAGATAAATGCCACTCATGCCACCCAAAAAAGCCACGGAAGAGTATTGCAAGTGCAATAAATATTTTCATATTTCTTTCCGCTGCTATGTTTGTGGATGGCCATAGAACAAGAGTAACTGGCAAGGGTGATGAGGGGAGTTTTCAACCTGTATTGTTATAAGGTTTATTTGCACTTACAGTGCTGTTGTTCTAGCAACATAACAGTCCACCTAATAGACCTTCTGCTTCTTTACAAATATGTCTATCGAACCTCAACCTCTTCGTAAGCTTAAGACAGTATAATCATAGTTGTGAACAGACACCAGTATATGATGTACATAATGAATTAAGAGGGAATGAGTGACCTGTCAACAAATTAAAGAAACTGCTGCCACCTAGAGTAATAAATGTTAGACAGACACGTGTTGTGTTATGTTGTGTTGTGGCGTGTAATGCATACTAGATACGTGGATTATAAGATGTCAGTACCCGAGTTAGATGAGTCAACTCGCTCGTACCTTGTTGGATTATAATCTCTGTCCCATGGCGTCCATGTTGCTGCTGTTAACCCAAACTCAGAGTCTTAAGACTTTTGTCTTGTTGCGCAGAAGGTTGAAATACAGGCTTGATGGCGACAAGTTTAAGTATAATGGATTCCAAAACAGGGAACCAAATTCAGAAATTAAAAAATCGATGCCGGAAAAAACCTTACTTGGATGATGACGATGACATTAATTCTACCCGTGAAATCTTAAGTGTAAAAAGATGGAGAAATTTACAGGCTTGATGCCGGAAACCTTACCTGAAAATTATCGAAATCAGAATCCATTGGCGCCTCCCAGACCGCACAGGAGTACTCGTATGAATATGTTGCAGCGGCGACCAAAGCAACTGAATCTTCTTACGTCCATGCCGATTTGGTTGGATGTAGGAGAAAGTCATTCCTCTCTGCTTAACATTAATATCTATAGTTAAAAATTTGAAGAAATTCCCAGAAACATTGTGAAAAAAGTTGCAAATGCCACATTTAACATTAATCAGAATAAGACAAAAGAGATTTTCTATGAATATTGCTCTCACTAGTGAAGAACCATTCTATTTGGCATCGGAAACATGCTCCACCAACAGTTTGCAGGAAATGGGTGGGGTGAGACTTGAGAGAGGGAGAGAAAGGATTCTAGAATGCGAGGGATGAGCGAGAAGGGTTTTTGGAGAGTCATTATTATTATTGGATGGATTTTTTAGAAAAGATAATTTTATTTTACTTTTTGTTTTTTCACAACCAAAAAGTCATATTAAACTTTTTTCAAGGGAAAATTCCCGATATTGAGGTCGGGTGCCGATTTAGCACCCAAACTTTAAAATTACCCTAAGATCAGGTTCCGAGAACCCAAATCTCTTTATGGAGGTGAAGCCTCCATCCACTATCAACCAGACGTTCTTTGTCGCATCGAAGAATGCTTGCAGTAATGGCTGAGTGTGCAGGTGGTTCCCTGTTGCCTTAGCAACTTACACCATATACTTTGACATCGATCTCAACCACACTGACATTGCTAGGTACCCAAGCTTGGCCTCTCAATGGATCTGGCTGACTAGCTCTTTTCCACCTCAACTCCAACCGTTTCTGCAGCATCTTCCCATATACCATTTTTGCGGATCTGGCTCTTTGATAAGGACTTGAACAACTGCTTCCAATTTGGCATTTTGAACAACCTCGGAAACTCCCCCATCTCCGTCATCGTGTTGTCCAACAACAACCTCGGCGGTTACATCCCCAAGGCCTACTTCTGCCCACCTATGGGTAGATGAAGAGCTTGGAGCAGTTCGACGTGGCTTACAATATGTTTATTGGGGTTGTACTGGCGGTAGTGTTTTAGCTATCGAGATTGGGATTAAGATGATAGTGATCGACAAGGGTGGTGGTGGTGGAGGAGCAGTGGACAACATAGGGGAGGGGATGCAATGCAGCGACCATCCTTACAGAAAGAATCCAGGTGGCATCTGCGGCTTCTACTTACAAGAGAAGCTGGGTGAGCTACTGTCCTCAATCCGCTGTAGAGGCTTGTTCTCTCCGATAACAAACAAATTCAACACATCGATCCCAGCTGATCTCAGCGATTTGAAATCACTTCCAAATTCCTACTTACTCCCATGTTCATTGGTTACATAAGGCAACTTGGACCAGGCTTCTGGTGGTGGTGATGGTGGTTGGGAAGCATGACTTGGTGGCAAAGGAGGTGATTCTATGACGCACCCAAATGGAGGTGAGAGAGAGATAGAAACATGTGGTGGCATAGCACTGGTTGGAGGTGGGTAGAATTCTTCTGCGAGTGGAGGCGTTGTATAATGATGGATTGGTGGCGGCACCCCAATATGTGGTGGAGGTGGCAATGGTTGTGTATAAAGGTGATGGGTTCGAGGAGAAGGAAGATAGGGAGGAGGTGAGGTGAGGCATAACCAGAATAATGAGTTGGTGGTGGTGGTGATGCGTAAGGATAATGATGGATTGGTGGTGATGGCAGGTAATTTCTAATAGGAGGTTTCTGCTTAGTCTGGTTAGTTGGATGCAGAGATGGAGGTTGTGGTATAATAGGCTGCTTTGTCTTCAGTGGTGCTTCTTTCAACATGGTTGACTATGGCGGAGGAGGCTTGAAGAATCTGGGCGAGTGGACCGAACTTGGCAGTGGGGGTTGCAGCATGGGAATCATTGCTCCCAGTGCAGAGAAAGAAGTAGCACCACCCTTGCTGCCACTACCACCGCCAGAGATCAGCGTAGTACACTCCAGTGCTTCATTGGTGAAGTAGTTAAACAAGTATGTAATTGTGGAAGGTTGGGAGTTTACACTTGAAGGGTATTTTTGTCTTTTTGCATGCTATTTGACGGTTAATTAACATAGCGTACTAGATTGCCGCAAAATGAAAGTTCGGGTACTAGATTGTCGCGTTTTAAAGTTCAGGTACTAAATTGGCACTCGGCCTAAAGTACAAGGTACTTATCAGGAATTTTCCGCCAACTTTACTCCAACGTTTGGCAGTGAATACATGTCACACATAAAGAGATAAATCAAAAAGCCTAGGCTGTTTTCTGCAAACAGCCAAAGTATTCCCTGGATGGTGAGTTTTGGAAAACAAAATCTCCCTCACATTAACATGGGTTTCCGAGATGTTTTGAAATGTTGGGTGCTCAAAAACTCATGACGAGTTTTAGACAATTTCCCTTACAATACAATTAAACGCTTGTCTTGACCTCTACCCCAAATTGGTTAGAGACAAAATCATGCACCTTGGGGTGGGCAACTTATCACAAGTGAACACGTTAGAGTACAAAGCACTACCGTGTTCACTTGTGATAAGTTGCCCAGCCCGCTATGCACTATGTGCAGTTTTTAGCCTCACATCCAAATCATAGTTTTTACTTTGGGAAAATTATAGTATGTGCCAACTCAACATTTAAAATTATGCTGCAAGTTGGTTCAAAAATCAATAAAGCTTTGACAATCAGCTCTATATTTCAAATTATAAAATCCCCTGTCATATCATTGAAGGCTTATCTTGTTGTTTCCAACATGGAACTCTCAACTCTTGTTGGACACAGTAAAAAGCATATACCTGATGAGGGCAGATTTGGTCATCTAATGTAATTGTGACACATGGCATCCCTAAACAGTTGGACGCCACCTAGGTGATAATTTGGAGTCCCAAATCGTAGTTCGTCTTCGCCCCCACCTAGCGACCTGCCTTTACCGCCAACCTAGAGACTTCGACCACAACTTAGGCCGGCTAGGAGCACCTCGTCTAGGGCCGACCTGTAGCATCTCGTCACTGGCCGATGTGACCTCGACGTGAGGAGCGACCTCCCTCGAGGGCTTACCAACCTGACTGAGGTCCAAGAGGCAACTTATGAGTTGTGCTCGCCAACAAATTCGGTATGCATATCCCGACACTCCCAAGTTTCTCAGAAGTTGGTCCACGTACCGAGTGTTCCGAGAGGATGACCAATGTGTGTGGCGATTACCTCCGGAAATATCAGACCAGTTAGGCAACCTCCCGAAAATCTCAGATGCGGTGCGTGAAGCCCACGCCAAACAAAGCCTATATATGGGCACTAACCCCAATGACACGAAGGGGTACGCGCGGTTACTTACATCCAAGCTCTCTAGGATACAAACTTTTAGCTCGCACAACCCAGTACTGACTTAAGCATCGGAGCGACCGTGCCGAGAAATTCACCCCGGGTCCTCTAACATTGTTTCCTTGCAGGTCTCTTCGAAGAGCTACCCATCTCGGCACCCAAGTAGCCTCTTAATTCAATCCAGTCAGTTCAACATCCAAGCCTTTATCCAGCAGAAATACTCCAGCTCGACCTCTGAGTCATCAGACACCGGGAAGTAGTCAGAACAACAAGGTGTTGCCAAAAAACCCTTCATCAATTGGTGCCATCTGTGGGAAATGCTACAAGAAGCTAAGTTCTCACCTTCTAAAAGGCTAAGTTCTCATCTTCTAGAAAACTAAAGATCTCACCTTTTAGAAATTAAAGTTTTCACTTTCTAATTTCCATTTTTATGAACTCAAAGGCACTTTTGAGCAGCATCAACACCCATAACGAATACCGATTACTAGGGGGCAAAAACATTTATGATGAACCTAGAGAACCCCCCTGTGACAATAAACAAGTGCAAACCGAACTCAGCATCCCTAGTACCCCAGATAAATACCCTGCTACCGCATGTGAACGCCCATCTCCCCGCGGTAGAGCCATCAGCAGTTCCCACTGGGATTGAAGCACGGCAATTCCATGAGATGAAGCATGAATTTCCAGATGTGAGCACGGGAGCAGCTCGACGTATTCATGTTGATGCAAAATAGGCAATAGCAGAACAACCTTAACAACTAGCAGTCTAGCAACAGGCACCTCGGAGTAAGGCTGCCCCTACAAGTCAAGCCAATCATGGTTCCTGTAGGAAGTTGATGGCCAACAGAATAAGCAACTCTACCGACTTTATTTCAGCCCGAATAAGCCTCATTAGTCCTCTCCGCGAGGTCTCCCCTACAGATTGAACCCTTCGCGGCTCCTGCGTGAGTTAGCGGCTTATGAACTATGTGAATGCCCTTACGGGTCAAGCCCCTCAAGGCTCCCGAGCAAGTCGGCGACCTACAGTCAGTAGAGCTGCCTCCGCAGGTCAAGCTCCCTATGGTTTCTCGTAGGAGTGGACGACCGGTGTCATTACGAGGCTGATGCAGCACAGCCATGGCCCTGAACTGCTGATTCGCACCAACAACAACATTATGCCCTCACAAGGGGGGGGGGGGGCAGAACATGTACGTCGTGGTCTCGCAAGCACTCACCTAGGAAGATAATCCCACGGGATGATGTAGAAGCATCCATATGAGAACCACGTAGGCGGAAATGTCAGGCCGCACATCTGCCAAATAATATTAAGGAGAGTGGACTACAAAGTCGCTCTTAGAGCCAAGGGTTAAAGTGTCGAGCTGATAAAAGACCTTGGCACCACATGAGACCCAATTGCCTCTTCGGCATGGGCAAAGATCAAGGATAAGGAGAGTGGACCGCGAGTCGCTCCCAGAGCCTAAGGGCTAAGGTGCCGAGTTGATAAAAGACCTTGACACCACATAAGACCCAATCGCCTCTTTTTCATGGGCAAAATAAAAAGCAGTTCGCATTCAATACAAGAAAGAGAACAAAGAAAAGACTAGTTCGCTTTCAACACCATGATAGATGTAAACTTAGTCGATCTCTTCACAATAGACCTCCACCTCGGTTTCAGGCTCCACATCGAACTCACTGGCTACTCTTTTGAGAACCAATTCGAAGGACGCTACGTCGAAGTCTACCTATGTGGAGCGACCTAATAAAGCAGTCACATAGAATCCCCTCTTGAGGATGGCATGATAAACTTCACTCTTGAGGTAATAGTCGGATTGTAGAACCCCTTGACGGTTCCATCCCTAATAAGGTAAATGTCCTCAGGGTATCTGCTCCACCTCTCCTCGAATAGATGAATTCGCTCTCGTGCCCCGATAACCAAGACGACAAGGTCCTGCATAAGGCTACAAACACTTGGACTCTTCTAACTTGAGAAGCAAATTGGACCGACACTTACGACTACGAGCTTATCGAATTAGTCATTCCATGCCAAAAGGAGAGATCTACTCCCTTTGCCGATCTACTTTCAGCTCGGGAGTGGGGGGCATTTGATGAGGGCGGATTTGTCCCTCCAATGACATTGTGACACACATCCCGAAACAACTAGACGACACCCAGACACCACCTAGGCAATAATTTGGAGTCCCAGATCGTAGTTCGTCTTCGCCCCCACCTGGCGACTTGCCTTTACCGCCAACCTAGCGACTTCGACCACAACTTAGGCCGACTAGGAGCACCTCGTCTAGGGCTGACCTGTAGCATCTCGTCACTGACCGATGTGGCCTCGACACGAGAAGCAACCTCCCTCGAGGGCTTGCCGACCTGATTAAGGTCCAAGAAGTGACATGCGAGTTGTGCTTGCCGACAAATTCGGTATGCATATCCTGACACTCCCAAGTTTCTCGAAAGTTAGCCCACGTACCGAGTGTTCCGAGATGATGGCCAATGTGCGTGACGATTACCTCCAGGTATATCGGACCGGTTAGGCAACCTCCCGAAAATCTCAGATGCAGTGCATGAAGCCCTCACCAAACAAAGCCTATATAAGGGCACAAACCCCAATGACACGAAGGAGTACACACGATTACTTACATCCAAGCTCTCTAACATACAAACATTTAGCTCGCACAACCCAATACCGACTTAAGCATCGGAACGATCTTATCGGATTAACCACCCTAGGTTCTCTAATCCTCTGTCTTATAGCTTGGTCCAACTTGCTACACAATTAAAGTACAGGTCATCTTCCAGCTAGGAGCTTCCAGATTGCGCATCATCAATACTGAAATTGCCTTAATGTTGAACTGGCTAAGAGTATAATTTTCTCTTTTACTTTTTATTGCTCTGTTTTTGTGTTTAGTCTTGTCTTCACTCTTAGATGTTGTCGTTGTTATTGGTTTGGTTAGTGTCATCTGTAATTCATTTGTTTTTACCATAAACAAAAACCTCACAACTTACGATACCAAGTTGGCAAGTATAATTCCTTTGTTTTCTCCTATAGGAGGGGAAAATGTATAATGCATGAACAGCACAATTAAACAAGAACACTTTGATCCATTGATAAAGCAACACAAACAGTTGAATTTTAATTTCCAAGTTTAAGTCTTTAATGGCTTGTACACCTTGTAAAACTTAACCAATGAATGAAAAATGAATAGGAGGTCATAACTGGATAACTGAAACTCTTTATAGGAGGTCAAACGAGATTGTAATCGAATCTGGAAAGTGATTCAAACGAGAGCACTTCTCAAATGCCGCACTCATTTACCAATTATCCCAAGCGATATCCGCTTCCCCAACCCCCAAGGCCAAGGGCATGAGAACAGCTGGTAGTCTAGCAAAAGTAGGAATGACAATTACACTTGATAATAAAACTACAGAAAAATGTTAACAGGGGAAGGCACTCTGAATCAAAGAGACGGTGCACTACATTCTGTCAACATTTTGCTCAACACAATAATTCCATTGAAGACAACGAAAAGATTCTCCACTGTACAATCTTCAGCATCCATCTCTGCCTTGTTAGTTGACATTGGTCAGCAATGAACCTCTACTCGGATGTTATGTTGTTGGTTAGGCTCGGTAAGTGCTCTGGAAAAGTAGTTGCGGATCTCTGGAATTATGCGCTGTATCAGTTCAGAATACCTGCCAGTTTACCCACCAATAAATCCATCACTACGGTAAGAAATATCTTGAGAGACTAGAAACCGTCCAAACCATGAGCATGAAAAACATGGTTCTATTACAGAGTTTGAACTTATTATGAAAAAAAAATGGAAGTATAATAACAATTATTGACTCTTAATCTTTTATACGTGTTTCACTTTTATATGAACTGTGTACACATCATAAAATTATAATTCGATCATGAACTCAGCTAGTGTCAAGACTTTCACTATTCAGTTGTTTGCTGGTATTCGGTAATGTTACAATGGAAAGGGTTACCAAATGGCACCTTTGGGCTCCTTTTCTACACAGCTAACCTACTACCATGTGAACAAATGATGTGGCAAATCCTGCATCAGAAAGGAGACGCATAGGTATAGGATTGACCAGGGTTCCACTCCCCCAGTCTGCATATGCTCTGGTTCAGTGTCAAAAATAGAATATCGTATCAAAGATGCAGAGGCCACTAAAATTTCTCCAAATGAATTGACTGGAGAACCTGGCCATATTTTAGACTACTCGAACAAAGCATCAAAAAAGGTGACTATTTTTCCCCAATTCTCTCAATTCAATAAAAGACTTGGCCCAACTATATGAGATTGGTTACATGCATCAATTCTATCATTCCGATCTGCTCAGTGTCGTGTCTTTTGTTAAATTATAAGCCCTCAAACCATTTTTGACTACTTGGACATGTGCCCATTTTGGTCAGCCACTACTTCTAGATCTTCAAATTTGCAACATATCACTTGGCAGTTTTGTAGATATTACTTGTAGTAACAAAACCATCTTAGCCCATTCCCTCAGTTCATTACCTATCAGGGTTACACTCATATGCCCCCATAAATATACTCATTTATAATCCTATCTTTTCTAATTTTACTATTAATCTATCTCAACATCCACATCTCTACCATCTCATTTGTTTTGGACAAGTTAATTATTGACTGCCCAACGCCCTGCTCCATATGACATTACTTGCTTAATAGCTATTTTATAAAAGTTTCCTTTTAGCCTGAGTGCCACTCTCATCACACAAACTCCATATGCACCCCTCCATTTCTCCCCTCTCTATATTTCTTTATTTATTAAATGTAACTTCCTGATGAAAATTAAAGTCATGTTTAAGGTATTTGAACATCCTTGTAGAATAATTATTAGTATATTGCCCCTTCGTGACAGATCATTATAATGTTCCCCGGCTTCTTCTCATTTAGTACTCACCATAAAAATAACCAAATTATCCTTCCAAGGAGAAGCTAGGATTGAACTTGCAACCTCATGGCTGCCATTATGTCAAAAATCATATAATGAGTTCAAGGCCATTGTGTTCTGCTTGACCAGATCAACTTTAATCACTGGTCATGTCTACTAAAAATTTTGAAAGGTTTTGGAATTTTGAGAAACTACTCAACAAAAGATGCAAAATTGTTATAGTTGCAGCTCATCTCGGGTGATTTCAGTACTGTCAGACCCAAACCAGACTGAATAATCAAACCAGTGAGATGGTGACCAATTCAGCTTTCCCATTCCCAGTTTTTGACAATTTTTATGGGCTGAACAATTCAATCACCAGTTAAACCAGTGACCAGATGAGATCTGAACACTGGATGGCATTCATCACATGGTTGAGAGAGAGAGGTATAATGAACGTACCCTGGCCTAGCACTCAATTTATCAAACTGCTCCAAAATAAACAAGATGCATGTATGCCTTAATGAAATAGCATGAAAAGCCTCTGAAAGTTCATACATGCTTGAAACATTCTCCAAAGATACATCCTGAATCAGAAGTGAGGAAAACACAAGAAAAGAGGTCATACAGAAATCTAACCTCAACTAAAGAAAATACAGAAAAATAAAGTGAAAACTGAAAACTAAGCCTTTTTTGAGGATAGAAATTTGGTAAAAACTATCAATAGAGAAACTACCAAGATTTTCTGACTTACCTGTGCAATTGCATACTCACATAGACGCTTGAGTCCCTCCAGGAGATACTGATCTGCAGCTCTAAGGAGATCCTGTGCAATGTCTAATGTAACATCCACTGATCCCGTGTATATAAATCTGTTTATTACCCCACCCCCCATTATGAAATAGAAACAGAAGATTACATCAAACATTACTTACTGCAAGTGTCCAAAAAAGCAGGGGAAACATGAGATAAAACAACCAACCTCATCATCAATTCAAAAACATCCCATCGTATATTAGGGATCTCTATATCTCTTGCATCCTTCTCCTGCAGGCCACAGATGTAAGTTTGCCTTCTAGAACAAGCCATCCACATGTACCAACTTAAGTTCCATAGAAATACACATTTGAAGCAAGAGACGGAGCATTAAGTATATACTAAAAAAAGAAAAGAGAGAGAGAGAGAGAGAGAGAGAGAGAACTTCTAAGGTTAACCATTCTCAATTTCTCACCCTATAGCCACCATCAAACATCGCACGGAATGCATCCGAAGAAGCAAGTAGAGCAATTCTGTGAGCATAAAACCGTCTCCCTGAGAAGAAACGGACAGAGAACAGTTTAGCCCATAACTACCTTCATTACAAAAATGGAAAATCTAAGACCTTTTATTCCTTGAAATAACACACTTTGAGCTTCATCTTAAACACACAAGATATGGAATCACAGTATCACACACACAAACAAAAATTAAATACAAAAAAGAATTGAACTTATCCAGGCAAAGAATGATTAACCTTCAACTAGAAAGGTGACATCGGAAAGTGTAGCATTATTTACATATTGCTCACCCAAATAGACCTGCAACAAGAATTACTTGTAGTCTTAGGCACCCAATATTCAGATTGGAAAAAGGTTTTTTATGGAAGAGTGAGTAAAATAAACCAAAATGAAAGAGAACAATGATGGACAGTGATGACATTTCAAAAACCAAAGCTTAAAATGAAAGAAAATAAACCTACAAGTCATTTAAAGCACAAAGTTTTAGACTAAATGAAAGAAGTATGAAAACATACTAGTGCCAGACAGTCCCAGTTTTCCAACCACCATAGAGGAAATGAAACAGCAACATACTAGTGCTTCCATGTATCCTATTCAGGTATAATGCCCATCTCTCCAAGCAAATATGGTTGGGTAGACCAACAATCTAGGTTGTTACCGAACTAACAATGCCTAAGGGCACTTATAAGAAGCAGCATTCAGTGATGGATTTGCTCAACACAAAAGACCATACAGTTTAGAAAACTAGCATCTTCACCTAATCAGTTAATCTCATCCAATCCCCTAGTTTTCTACCAATAACATAGTAAATTTTTTTTCCAGAAACACTGATACAAATGAACCTAGGATTTTTTTAGTTCCATATCCTGGCAAGCGATCATAACCCACCACCAAAGGAGTGGAAAATGCAGGGGTGTCAACATGAAGAATAAGAGTAAACTGGCAAAGGTTCCCACTAAGTTTTTTCCATACTGTCCATTACATATATCATTAATTTTATGTTTCATTACCACTGAATGCTACAGGGTAAAATGACAATGGGGATTTCCTAATTTAAGCTACTGAGATAAAGTATATTACTAGCAATCAATGTTTTTTAAATCGTATGACTTGCAATTCAAATCGTATGATTGATATTGAATCGTCTATAGAATGATATGAATCGCATAGATAAATCGTTTTTCACAAAAATCGTATGGCTTGTATATGAATCATTAATTTGAATTGTGAATTGTGATTTATATGAGAATCAAATTATTAATCTTTAACATTGATTTTGAGAGAAAATAGACCATTTAGTCCTCACGTTAAATTTTCATGTATATAAAGGGTATTTATGTCATTTTCAAATATAAAACTTAAATAACACTACTAGACTCGAGTGTCAATCAAACGAAAAGGTTTACTGTGGGAGAAAAACCCTTTCCATGCATGAAAAACTCCAAAGTTGGTCTGCATGAAAGGTATGTTTTTCTATTTTTTTTTCAATTGTTTTTGATTGCCGGTCTGCTGGTCTGCGAGCAAAACCCCTCTTCTGGTATGTTTTGGACACAAAATATGTGTTCTGCCCCATTCTTCCTCTGATACTGAAACCAAAACAGGGTCTCCGCCCCTTTTTTCTTTCTTCCACCTTCTGTTTCTGATGCAAAAACAGGGGCTCCACCTCTAATTTTGACACCAAACAGGGTTTCTGCCCCATTTTTCTTTGTTCCCCTTATGTTTCTAATGCAATTCATCTTCTTCTTTCCCCTCAGTCTTTGATGCCAAAATAGGGGTTCTGCCCCACTTCTTCTTGGCACCCTCTTTTTTTACTTTATTATATGGGTTTGGTAGTTGAGGAAGACCTAATTACAATTTATATTATTTGTTATTGTGTTAATTCTGAATTTGGTAGTTGAGTAGTACTGGTGGACCTTGACTGCTCCATGCATACAATGAATTCCTTTCATTTTTGTTTTCTATATAGGTTATTTGGTTTAGACTTTAGTTTCTTACATTGTATATAAAATTTATTTGAATGTCTCAATATGCAACTTGAAAATTGAATTATTTCATTCTTGATTTTTGAATGATGAAATTGAGTATGTATAGACCTATGGCTTATGCAACCTAGCAGTTGTGTTATGCATGTCTCTTATTTTAGTATTTTTTCTTGAATCATTAATATGCATGTCTAAGTTTGGCTTTAACAAGTGAACAAAGAAATAGAGACTATAAAACTTTGTAATTCTTTTTTTTAACTTGGGGATAAGGATAACTAAAGGAAAATGGTCCTTGTCCTTTTCTTTCTAGGATATGATAATAGCCAGAACTGACCACCTTAATTCCTTAATTCAACAAGGAAAAAAAAAACTAAAGCATATGTTTTTTTTCATCAATAAGCATATATTTTGGTATACCAATATGTCCAATTATTAAGGGACTACACGTTAAAAATTTTAAGCCTAATCACCCATTCTGAAGCCCTAAAAATACAAAAATTCCAATGTATATGTATGTACACTACATTATCCTTTTTGTTATAATTGAGCACTACATTATCCAAATTATATAGTAATAATTTGCTTAAGGCCAACTAGATCAAGTTAGAATCGGAAATTTTGAATGCATTGCATCCTGAAGTCATAATTGATAAATCTTTGACTAAATCATTTCTCCACAAGAGGCTTGGGGTAAAGGGGATTATCTCTTGAAGAACCAAGATAGCCAAAAAGGAATCATGCCTGTGGTGTTGGAGATGGAGGAGCTGCATCCATAGGGCAGAGAGTTGCAGCTTTTTTGGCTAACTTGTAGAGGGCCACCGAACTATCTTGTTGTTGCTTTGGGCTTGTAGACCCAAGAAGCTCCAAAAGCAACTCCAAACCTACATCCATTTAACATGGCTTAGACAAACTCAAATGCAGTTAAAAATGGTAAAAGCATTTCTGAAACAAAGAAATGAAGAAGCAGAATTGTCTTGAAAACAAGGTCATACCATTATTATCAATGAATATTGTTCTTTGATCATCAGGGGAACAAAGATGAGCAAGAGATAAAGCAACTCGTCTCTGAAAAACCTTTTCTCCCACGCGCATCAGATATAATAGATGGTTCAATACCTATCACAAGAAAATCATTTTGTAAGTATAATGGGGTAGAAAGAGAAAAGGGGGAAGGAGAAGCAGAGAGAAAACTAACTCGTCCGTGGATCTTCTCCTCTAATCTTTTCAAAGTCTTTGCTATACAATCTTTGGTAGCCTGTAAGTACATTACAACATCCAAGTTGCATAAATTTACCAAATTGCTAATGATATTTCTGATCATTAACAAAATCAAACCCAATGCTATACCGCTTAAACTCTAAGAAATACCAGCTACTTATTTTATTTCTTTAATTAATAATTAAAGAAAATTCATACTTGGACAATAAACTCTCCATCTTGCAGCTTTTGAACACCTCCAATCTTGATAAAATCAGAAACATTGTCCTACATGAAGGAAAAGGTTTAGGTTCTAAGAGTTCTATTAAGTTTATAATAAAATCTTAGATAAGTAAATGAAGGATTGCAATCATGCACAATGATATACACTTGAAAAGATTTGACAAACCATACCTCATTGTCTGCAAGGCCATAAAGAGCAAAAGCAGCATTATGTTGCAGAGATCCATTCCTTGAGTCTAGAAGCTTCAGCAATGGCACAAGACCACCATTATGAGCTATACCAGCTTGATTGTGTGTATCCTGGAAAAAACAGAGAAATGCATGCACCAACTATAATTCAGTGCCAAGCATACATACCAACTAGAAGGAACTGTACAATTGACTAACTTGAAGTGGCTAGAAGTACTACGATACTACCCACTACCCAGACAAAACAAAGATTTACTACAGAAAACCAAATAAGCTTGCCAAAAGTACAACTATTAAGAAAAAGAAAACCAATCTATGAGTAGAAAACAGGCACTAAATGCTGGGCCCAAGCCCAATGTATTTAAAATTCTTCAAAGTGGGTTACCCAATCACCCCTACTGCCAATGGCCTTGCCAGCTCTTTAGCAAGGGCAAGGGTAACAAAAGAACAGTTGGAATGGTGGATGCCGGGCTCTGAGGTAATTGAGTAGTTAATTCCATTTTAAAAGGAGTATGTCATTCTTCAGGTTGTGCATCTCTCTTTAATCTCATCTTTTGAAAATCCTTGGAGAGTTGGGATTTTCCTTTATTACTGAAATCTTATTTTACAGTTACTGATCAAAATCATAAAGCTTCCTTTTTCCTGACGTGTGAAGTTATTTATCAAACAAAACATCATAGACAAGATGCATTAAGAATACAAAAAGCTGGAAATATACATCCATGGAGCATAAATCAAACTCAAGGACCCACAACTAGAATCAACCAATAATGTGTTTAGGCCAAGTTTGGGAGTGCTTAAAAAATTAGTGCTTATTCGAATAAACACTTATTTTAGGCCGGGACCACACCATTAAGCACTTATAGGTGTTTGGAAAATAAGCCCAAAATAAGTGCTTATTGGAGAAGCCCAAAATTCCAGCTTTTTTTAAATTCAAGTTTTTTCTTTCAAAATTTTACCCATTTAGTTTTTGAAATTCCATTTATGCCCTTCAGATGTAAAAAAGTAGGGTTTGTCCAATCAATCCTTTCTTCTCTACTGTCTTCTCCAACCAGCGGCGGAACTTTTTCCACAGAACAATCAGAACCGAACCTAGGATTTGTAACCCAGTTGGTTCTACATGACTACCTACGAATATTCAACATATGGTAAGATGGTTGCCGAGAGGTTTGCCTTGGAGCTGGCACTCTACAGCAATGAAAGATCTAAGGGAGAAAGCAGGTCATCCTTCACTTGAATGAAATCAGGTTTCAGCGAGCCAAGAAGTGTTGCTCAGGCCGGAGTTGCTAACCTTCCCCCATGGAGGATAACCAATCTGATGAAAGAAGAACAGGGAACCACTGTTGCTGGAAAGCCATCTAGTATGAGTTGACACAGGTGAAATCGAGCTGCCAATAATGGGAGCAATGGGAATTTGTATTATCTTGAAGCTAGTCACATTGGCAAACACCAGAAGCCGTCACAACCTTAGATTCCTGCCGGTTATAGAAGTTAACAAGCAACAAGGGAGAGCCACTGGTTCTAAGTGCAGAGACAATGAAATAGTGAAGCCCTCCTCTGTTCAGCATCACTGATGGGATTGCTATGACGAGTTCGGAGCCGGGGTGGAGAAGACAACAATTGGTCTTTGTCTGCAGCTCTCAGAGATGATACAAAATAGAGGTGTGCCTCTCACAGGATTATAAGGAGAAGATGCCGGTGCTGGTATATAAAACGATGCCGCAGGCTGAACAGGTGATGTGCCAATGAAGGAAGATGCTGAAACAGGGGCATAGTGATCGGTGAAGGTAGGCAGTTCGGTGGTGTTAAGAAGAAAACAGGAGAGTGGGGAAACAAGATGGAAGTGGAAGAGAGGGATCCAGGAGAGAGAGAGAGAGAGAGGATACAGGAAGAGAGAAATAGAAGGAGATTGCCAGCACTGTGGGTTGGGGAGCTCTGTTTGCCACCGCTGGTTCTCCAATGAAAAAGGCGATGAATAGCATTTTTTCAATCTTCTGGTTTGGTGGCAAAACAGGGAGGTCAGAGATGAGAATGGGCTAAGGTTGTCTTTTTGAAAAAATAGGTGCTTATTGGATAAAAAGACCACCAAATGCCCCATATGAAAAAGAGCTTATCTTTTAAAATAAGCACTTGAAAAAGCTAGGTGCCAAATGTAAATAAGTGCTTATTTGAATAAACACTTTTAAGCACTTATTTTTAAAATAAGCACTCCCAAACTTGACCTTAATGCCACTAAACCAACAAAAAACCTATCAAAAAAGTACGAGATTGAATACGCATAAATCGCAATTACAAGATTTAAAAGATAAATTTGCTGACAAAAAAAAAGGATTTAAAAGGTAAATAACAAGAGAGCATGCATTAATTTTGTTGAAAAAAGAAATAGGATACACTGATACGCACAAAAGCCAAGGCATAAAATATGCAAGAACGGATGCACAAACATTAACATAGAATCTTCAGGAGTATATCACAAAACACAAAAGGAAATTTAACACTCCCCCCAATCCCTAAATATTTCTCTTTTCTGGTAACAAAAAGAAACTGTATAAATGTAACAAAAAGAGCCAATGGAAACTGATCCTTCCCATGCATAAAATGCAGTAACACCATTACATTGACATTTTACTATCCTTCCCATGCATAAAAAGTATCATCCATATATACTACATTTCATTTAATCCACCTTTGACAGCTTATAATCAAAATGCAGTAACAAGACCTTTGACAAGGAGTAAGTTCTTCTGGACATGAAACCACAAATTGCATGAGCATGCATCGGAAAATAATGAGATGAGAAAAGCCATATTTAACTGATCAAGATGTCCAAGCAAAAGTAAATGATTCAACTTAGACATCTCCATGCCCTTGTACTCAAATAAATATCCAGAATAAAAATCTGCTTTCTTTCCAGTTTCCATTATCTAGTTGGTAACAGGCTGCATGTTTGTTAATGCATACTTTTTTCATGTGGAAACATGTAGACTTCAAGTCAAATAGCTACCAGCTCCAATGAGACCTATTCAATATCATGATATCAATATGTAAACATGTCAGACAACATTATCTATTGATGTCACAGAAAGATGGTAGACAACAGAATAAAAAGTAACATTGATTATTCTTCATTTTTATAAGTATACTAAGCAATCATCATCCTTCATGACAATGTACCAGGAACTGAGGAACCAAGATACTAGAAAGATATAAACAGGTTCCCATGTTCCAAGTTTTAAAATCATTTTGAAGGGGTAAACTAGTATCACAACCCAAATTTTAGATACGATGCCAAGAATTCAACAATAAATTAATATGGGAATGATCTTTCCTCAAAAAAAGTATGAATAATCATGCCTTAAAAATGAAATCATTCACCGATATGATTGATGCAAAATTTAAAGAAAAAAAAAAACAAACAAACAACTTTCAAATTCTAGCTACAATCACCTGATTAGAATAGATCCAAGAATACTAGAGAAGTAAATAACCTGTGCCAACCTCCCCAGTGCAAAGGCTGACATTTCCCTAAGCTGTATATCAGGGGACTGAAGCATCTCAATTAAAGGACGAACAGCACCCCTTTGTACAATGTGAACCTGCAAGAACATAGATTTTGAGAAAATAACATACAAAATGATATTCATGCTTTAAAGGTGGACAGAATCAAGACAAAAAAGGGAATTTTTTTTGGAGGGGGGAGGCATTTTTGACATGGGAAATTAGAGCCATGTTTGGTTTTCTGCTCTGGGCCTCATTCTTTTAATTCTTGCTCAATCTAGGCAAGAATGGGCAAGAATGAATATCATTAGAGTGTTTGTTACAAAATTCTTGCCATGATCCTCATTCATTTCAGAATGAAAAATCAGCCCATAGCACAAATATTGAGGAAGCCTGCAACATGAAAAATAATCATGCCCCATCTTGCTCATTTTCATTCTTTAAGAAACTCTATGTCGGCAGTCATAAACAGCTGACCTAGATCTACAAAACCACTGCCATGGATGTTTACTACCGGATTGTCGTGGAAAGTGGAAACTTATTATGCCGACAGACATTGACTGCTGCCCATCCGCCAATAAACATCTATGCCAATGGTTTTGGAGACTTGGGCTGGCAGTTTATGACCACCAGCACAAAGTTTGTTTTTTTTTTTTTTTGAAGAATGAAAATGAGAAACATAAGGCACTTACAATTTGAAAAGAATTCATATTTTTTTTGGAAAAAAGAATTTGGTTCATAGCAATATTTTCTCATTCTGCCCATCTTCCCCATTCTTGTCCATTTTAGAATTCCATCTTGGGTAAGAATGAGAGTTAAACCAAACATAGCCTAGGAATCCCAGGACAAGTTCCTCACTTCAATTCAAAAAGAATAAAAGAGGCCACTGGAAACCAACCTTGCAATCTGAATCTGTTGCAGCAAATTGCCCAAGTAATAAAGCCGCCTCTCTTTGGCTCTCCGAACAGCACGAACTGAAATTCAACATATTGACTTTCAATATGCCCAAAAACTAATGTCTATTTTCAATGTCAAAATAGCTAAACATCAAAAAACATCAGAACAAAGTTTTCACTTAAACAAAAGGGAGAGAGAAAAAAGAGTTGCAAGGATGATTATATAGGAGTCCAAATCTTGGTGATACCTGAGTAATCCAATAACAGGTTGTAAAGCTCCAGCAAGGAGAACCTCCTTCTTTATGTTTGGGGATGAGTGCACCAAATTTCCAATGACACCAACCTGATAGATACATGAAAAGTCAACAAGTGCTAAGATGCAATCATGTGATATGAAGTATAAATACCAGATTTATTAGCTAACCACAAAGTGTCAGATAAGAACCTACCGCCTCATAATGTATAGCAGCATCCTCAGACCGAAGCATTAGAATGAGGGTTGGAAGAGCATTGCACTCTACAATCTGAAAGAGTACAGAACTATTGACATCAAAATAACTGCATAGCGGATCTTTCTCAGAGAACTTTCTTTTTTTTTCTAACTGAAAACTACCTGATTCTTGTTCTCATCATTTTTAAATGCTAGGGTTCGTAGTGCTCCAGCTGCCGCTCTTTGCACCTTTGTATCCGTAAACTCAAGAAGCTCAACAAGAGGTGGAATTCCCCCTTCAATTCTGATAATACATTCTAAAGTATGAAAAATAGATATAATTGTTAAACTCAAAACATGAGGCAAAAGAAATAAGCAAGCAAGTAGACCTGACACGGGTTTTAATGCTGCTATTTTCATGAGCAAGGTTAGTGATTGCATCAGCAGCCCTGCGAATAACACTGTTGACTGCTCGAGAGCTACAACCATCCCTGTGCCTCTTTAACAGGTCCACAAGATGAGACAAAGCACCAGCATCAACTATGAGCTGTTGGTGCTCAGGCTGTTAAAAGGAGAAATAACAAGAACATGGGTAACATTAGAAACAAATTTTGCAATCCCTACCCACAATTTCCCATTTAAGCAGTCCTAGAGTATCTGTCAAAAGAAGTCTAAAACATATAGCAAACATTGGCAATGCACCACCAGAGCATCCAAACCATCAATATTTTAGTTTTTTTTTTATCAACAACACTTTCATTAATTCATCAATAGAAAATTTACAAGTGGAAGACAAACGCACTTATCTTCCAAGAGTCACAAAGAGATTCAAGAAAGGAAAAAAGAAAAAGACAAAGACACTAACGTTACAGCTTAGCCCAAAACAGTGAATCCCTTTCTGCCCCTTGTTTAGCTAAACCGTCAACTAGGGAATTAGCCGATCTTTTAATCCAACATGTCTTAACTTCCATCTTCCGCACCAGCCACTTGAATTTCCTCTTCTCATTATTGTACTTCCATAAATCATTTTGATCTTTAGTCAGCCACCCTATCACCACCTCTGAATCCCCTTCAATTATGAGTTTCTTGATGTTCAATTCCTTAGCTTTCCGGACTCCTTCCAAAACTGAATCCCCTTCAATTTTGATCTTTAGTCTGCTGCTCCTCTCTGAGTTTCTAAGAATATCCTGGAGTTTCTTTCTTCCCACAGTGTCCAACATATTGCAGCCCTTAGTCCTCTCCACATTGTCCTTCCCACAGTGTCCAACAAACCATCAATTTTGGAGAATATTCACAAAAAAAGTGCAAACTTTGTACAATAAATAGAAAATTAAGGATGTGTTTGATAACATGGTTGGTTTTGTCTTTGAAAATAAAAACAACTGCCACATCAGCAAAAGCAATGTAATTTTGCTATTGGGGCAGTTTTTGTTTTCAAAAACAAAATCAACCATGTTGTTGAACACCCAGTAATCTATTTTGACCATATAAAAATTAGAAAAAAGGAATAATACCAAAAATTTCAAACTCTTTTCCTATTCTTTTCAGGTTGAGTGATGTGGGCATAATCCCATATTTATGAAAGGAATGCTAACATTATGTGTAATAAATGAACATAGTACACACGCATACATCTCCAATACTGGGTTTTTTGATCAATTTCTCCAACATCTAGAATATTGTGAGGCTCCAACATGGTCCAATGTGACTCATTGATTGCTGTAATTAACCACAGTATGCCATATGAATCAGTGAAAAAGCACCCATGGATGCTATATGCATTTGTTATACAAAGCAACAGCATTCCAACTTTGATGAAGAGGGCACACCTGACACCCCTAATCATCATTAATTGGGCTGTAGGTGGGACTCAGCTACATTCGATTCAGATCCAATTATTGAAATTTCAAACCCAATCCTATCAAAATTGAATATTTCAGGTTTCAGATTGGATCTGGATTTGATACGACTCTGCTGAATTAACATTAAAATAAAGAAAATTTACAAAAAAAAAATTAACATATACATATACAAAAATGTATATAAATATAGAATATTATATAATATCCATCTATATAATACATTATTATATTACATATAGCTTGGATTTTTATCAGATCAGATGGGGTCAAATCCAATTACCAAACAGATGCAGGTTTTAACATCCAAATCTGAGTAAACGGATCGGATGTTGGGTCAGGTCTCAGATTTTAAGAGCCCGTTGACAACCCTAATCATTATTTAAAAACTAAAATTTATAAAAGACGAATACAACCCAATGTGTTCCTTGCTATCATTAGAGGGGTTACATCCTAATTTCAATAAGGATGTGCTTGGCAGCTTAAAATAACAGGATTTGCCCAAATCAGTCCTCTTTTGAATTTGTAAAGTGAAACAGAAAAATGTAAGAGTATTGGAAAGCAGAATATTTAATTAAACAGGGATATGCTCAGTTTATCAACAATGACCAATGGGTTGTGCCCAATCAATCACCTTTTGAATTTGTAAGGTCAAACAAAAGAAACAAAAGTTTGGGAAACATAACATTCTTTATTAAATTCTATTCCAAATTTAGAAGAATCTCTTCTTACAAATGACTAAACAATAAATACACAAAATGAGTATACTATTTCTTTTCTTTATAACTAAGCCAACAAAAGGATTTATTCATAATTTCAATGGTAAAACACCCCTGAAGAACAGATCAAGGGAGACCAGTACAAACAACAGAATAAAAACATAGAGAGCAGAAACAAGGAGTAATGCAGAAATCAGCCCTAGGGCCCGGAACCCTCCAAAGAGAGCAGACCTTAGGATCCCATCCCAGCTAGAGCATCAACTTGCTCATCGACAAATCTAGGCAACCATCTAAATGAACCGTTCAACTTAGATACCAGAGCCTTGTATTCTCTAATAAAGTGTCAAAGGAGCCAAGGGGACTATGAAGATCTGGTCAGCCATCCAAACACCAATTAACACACACCCTCCACCTGAATATCAGACCAACCATAGGAACAGGTCAGTTTAAGTCCTTGTAAAAGTAACAACAGCTTATATCTCAAAGAAATCCATTCTACCTTAGGGCCCAAAATGAATAGCTTAGAATGATGTTTCCATAGAAATCCCTTAAGATACCCCTGCACCTTAAGGCCCTGGGCTTCCAATTGAGAAGCCATTGGAATTGGCTAATTATTTTTGTCATTAATTGTTAGTTATCTTTTTTTCTGTATGTAATTCTTGGCTACCACACTAAGGTGGTGTTTGGTAAATCTGAAGTCTGAAAAACCAAAAAAAAAAAAAACCTCTGAAAAACCTCTAAAAGCATTCAGTGAAAATTTTACTTTTCTGATTTTGCAGATATCTTAATGTGTCGAGTTGTTCAGTAATCTGAATGTTGTGACGTCTGAAAAATGTGAATTTTACACATTTATCCCTCAAATTATTATTTAAATAACAATAAATTAAAATGATTAAAATACTATGCTATTATAGTAAATATTATAACATAATAAAAAATACTATAAAATATAAACAATTTTAAAAATCAATAAAAAATAAAAAATAATATTAATAAAAAAATTTAAAAATATAGTTAAAATGATCATATAAAAATATTAAAAATAATATAAAAATCTATAAACAGATTAAAAATATCATATAATTATCTGTGTGACTATTATATAAAAACAAATTATATAATCTATTATATATCCCCCACTCTTTTAACATGGAAATAGATTTTAAAGCTCAAGAGATGACTCGTATAAACTCAAACCCAAAAACGAAAATGGTAACCTTCCCCAATTACTTGTCAAATGCATAAACACAGTGAAGACATCTATTAGGAAGAAAAATTTGAAAAGAAAATAAAAAAAATACAAATACAATAATGTACTTTTAAAGATGGGTTCGTTTTAGGTGATTAATCTTGTCGGACCACCAAACATAGTGAAGTTGTAGAGCTTGAGACCACCAATGTGCCGTCAAACAAGGAGAAGATGGAAAACAGGTCTAGATTTGGTGATTGAGGCTTTATGAGTGTGGGGCATTTATGGGAATATAAAAACTTTTGAAGGGACATACTTGGCATAGAAAGGTCATCTGCTACCCCTGAGCGCATTCAAAGGTAGCTTGAGCACTGGAAACTTCAGAGGCAATTTCAACGTTCAGATGGTTGATTTGGGGATGCAACTGAACGACCACCAGGCGCTGAGAAATCAACTTTTTCAGCATTCGGTGGTTGATTTGGTGCTACCAAATGCCACCTAAGACAATTCATTAATAAAAAACCATGCCAAGACAATTTTACTAAATTAGCCATTATATATGTTAATTTTCAACTTTATACTTGATATAATAAAAATATCACATATATTTTATGATGAATGAACTAGCACCTCACAACTGCCGGTTTGGAGTATGAATTGCAGTTTACAAAGAAAATGAACTCAAAAAATCATTTAAGCCTAATCACTTGTGCAGATTCTGAATTCACTCTTAGTGGTTCAACCGCTCGTCACAGTATCTTATTTTTATTAGGCTAAAATATAAAAACCTCCCCTGACTTTTATGACAATCGTATAAACCTTCCCTGGATTTTGATTTTAATAAAAACCTTCCTTCACTTTTGAAAGAAATATGTAAAGAGCTCCCTTCTCTTACTTTTTCTGACAGAAAACGTTGACATGCCGCATTTAATTTTTAAAATGGCACTTATGCCTATGATTAACTTTGTTGGGATGCACCTTTAATTTATTAAATTACCTTAAATAAAATCTCAATATTACTTCAACCTCAATACCGAAAGATGTAGAACCTCTGTAGAAACTTCATCAGGCAATGTTGGACCAAATCAGCTGTAAAACATCCGTACTTCCGTAGAATACTATGATAAATAGGTCGACCCGGCTTCACGCCAAGAAGACTGAGAACAAAGCATTTTTGAACCTCATCCCCTTGTTGGTGGGAAATGGGGTCTTATTTTCACGAAGGGAGATTTGAAGGAAGCGTTTGAGAAAGTGGCTAAATACAAGGTTGGAGCTCCTATCCATGTTGGTTTGATTGCTCCAATTGATGTTGTTGTGCCTCCTAGAAATATTGGATTGGACCCATCTCAAACTTCCTTCTTCCAGGTTCTCAACATTCCCACCAAGAAGGATAAACAGGCGATCAGATGCTGGAAAAGTTAACTAAAAAAATGAGATAGCTTAAAAACAGATGCCCATGATTAACTTTGTTGCTTTGCCAATTCACAACTCTCACACATCTGTTGGAGCTTTTTCCATCTAATACATACCCAGGAAGCCATCTAAGTTGACTGAAAGAGATTAGAAAGAAGAGACAGATGGATCTAGGGTGGCCGTGAAGTATTTTACAATATCTTTAGTGGCAGCCATATATCCAAGCAGCAAAGAATAATGAGATGGCTTAAAAAGACAATGGCGTTTTTCATTGTAAACTGAAAAAAGAAAGAAAGATAGTGTATGATGTGTGTGACGCGGGAGGTGAATAAGACAGTGAATAAAACATTGGATCTAAGTAATGTTTTAAAACGCGGAGGTGTGGCGCGAGGCATTCCACTACCTAGAGGCATGAGGCGTAGTTCAGAACACAAGAGGCGTAAGCCTCCCGAACACAAGGAAGCGTAAGCCTCCTTAAGAGCAGGGGGATTAGGAAGAGGAAGGGGGGATCTCAGTTTTTCTTTATTTTTAATAAAAATCATTTATATTAAGAAGAATAAAGATGTATAACATTAATTGAAGGGGGGGTCTTGTCGAAGGGGTAGGGGCAAACCACTTTCTTTCCCCTTGTCCTTTCTTCCCTTCCCTTTCCTTTTATCTTTTTTTCTTCTCTTTCTTTTGCTTTCCCTTTCTTTTCCTGTCCTTTCCTTTCCTTTTTTTTTCTTTTTTCTTTTTTTTTCTGTCTTTTTATATAAGATGTGCATGAGGCACATGAGGCATATGCCTCTTGTACCTGATGCGTACGCCTCAAAGGTAACAGCACCTCTGGCATACGCCTCGGCGTTTTGGGAGCGCCTCACCTGGAGGCACGCCTCCAGGCATACGCCTCCCACGCCTTTTAAAACACTGGATCCAACAGCAAAAAGAACATTGACAAAGTGCAAATTGTAGTCAAAATGTTTGAGGCATATGCAAATGACTAAAAAATGTCCACTCTTAACCTAATCTTGACTGACAATGCAGAAGCTCTCTGCAAACTTTCTCCGTCTCCATTTCTTGCCATCTTAGACAGGAATCTTCGTTTGGAAGAAGACATTAGAATACTATAAGAATATAGGAAAATCTATTATAAGCATTTCTCATTGAAGTTTCTGTGGAGATTTAAGTTTACCACAAATTTTGGCTGGCATTCGCTCAATGAGGTTGAAGTATATTGGAAATTTCTTTAAAAAAATTTAAGTACTATATTGAAAATTTTATTTTTCAAGGTAATTCAATCTTTGGGCAAAAGTGGCATTTAAAAAAGAATGCTTCTCGTAAGCCGTTTTTGTCAGAAAAAAGTGGAAAAGGGATGCCTTTGTATATATCTTTGGAAAGTGAAGGGAGGTTTTTTTTATAATTAGTGAAGGAGGTTATTGTTAGAATCAGAACTCAGGGAAGGGTTTTATGTTTCACCCTTAATATTGGTACGTCTATAGTGATGTTACATACTAAGTTCATTATTATTCTGTAATTTGTACACTGTAGCATTCCAGAACATAACTAAAGTTTGGAAGTTCAACAAATTCTTCACCAGAAGTTCTGCTAGTCTAGTAAACAATTGAACAGGAAAGTGTAATCAAAGATTTTCCTAAGACATTAAATCATACTTACACAAATAGGGGTACGCAGATCCCACACAAATCAGATGTCAAAGAAAGAAAGAACTTGGAACAAGAACAAATTGATTAGTAAAAGACACAAGAGAGGCATGTAGTATAACCTTCACAGCGAGGAAGCCAAGAGCGAAAGCACTCCCCTTCTCCACCTCGTGTTCGAACGGCTTCGGACCTGCGTCACCTTCTATCGAATGTGGTGGCGACTGAAGATGCTTCACCAGAGCCGGGACCGCACCACCATCGACAATAACATTCACAACTTCCTCTGCAGAAATCCAACAGATCAACAGAGAAAACCTTAATTCTTGGGTAAACAAGATATTCAAAGATAAAAAGAGTGCATAAACCCTATTTGTGTAACTATGAAGATCAATATGAATGCTGGTTTTTTTTCTCCTAATAAGGGCTCTTTTGTCGTCATTGCGAGAGATAACGGAGGTATTTTCTGGTGGGCTGGGTTTGGCTGTTTTGAAGCTTCCTCTCCCCTTGTTGCAGAGGCTCTCGCTCTTTTTGAATCACTAAATTGGATAAAAAAGAAAGGGATGCCCAATGTTTTGATTGAGCTTGACTGTCTGCATTTGATCAAGCTCATAACTGATCCGAGTAATTTCTGCCACCAAGATATCCTTTTTCTCAGAGATGACATTCTGAAGTTGAATGAAGAAATCTCAGCTAGTTTCAGCTGGATCCCTCGAGAGGCTAATTCGGCAGCTCATAACCTGGCCAAGTTGGGCTTTTCTACAAGCAGCTGGTTTGAGTCTTCTTTTTTCCTTTTTGGTTTTCTGCTCTAGTGTTAGGTGGTTAAGTCTGTGTGCCCTTCAGTTTGGGTTTGAGTCTTTTTTTCCTTTCTTTTCTGTTTCTGTTGCTCTGTCCTTCAGTCTTGGATGTTTCGTGTCCTGGGCTTTGCCCTTGTTTCACTTAAATTGAATTTCTGGATTACCAAAAAAAAAACGAAAGAAAGAAAGAAACGACGACGCACAGAAATCAAAAACAAACAAATCGTCACAAAACTAATGGAGACGATGAAAATGAAAGAGAAAAAAAAATTAAAATGGAACATCGATGTGGTCTGTCTGTGTCTAAATTACCATTCTTGGCGAGCTCAGCGAGGATGTGAGTGGCACGCTTAGCGGCGGCTCGATCGGCTTCCTTCCAAGAGAAGGTGGTGTTAAGGATATTAACCTGCGCACTCACCTCGGCCGCCAACGCCTGGTGAGCGTCGGGAGAGATGAGAGAGATCTCTCGTTCTTCTTCGATTTCTTCCTCCAGCTTGCGCTTCTGCCCTTTCCTCTCGGGGAGCTTCTGCTGTTGTTCTTGGTGCTTCTGCTGCTCCATGGAGAGACACACAGGAGAGGAGCGAGAGGAAGGAGTTGGAGAGAGATGGGTTTTGAAGACCTGAGAAAGGGCATATTGGGAAATTAAAAAATGGCGTTAATATTTTCTTTCTCTTTTTTTTTAATGTTTGTTTTCTTTTCAGTAACGAGGAGGGGGGCTTTTGCCTTTCGGCTTTCGTGAGATGCGTCTGTGGTTTTGTACCGGCCGTATAATTTTCCGGTCATAAATTCCCCGCCCTTTTTCTCATCCCAAACGAAATTACTAACCTGCGCTCCCGCCTGATCTAACTTGCGCCCACTGAGATGGACTGAACTCCTTTGATCAGATGGTTGCGATTATTTCAATCGCGTGGGCCCATGAACTGGTTTGACTTCTCTTGTTGCGGACTTTTGATGTCATCAGCATGATAAAGAGATAAGGACGTGGGGTGGGGACCTGTGTGGCCCTGGCCCACCAAAGGTGAAGAGGATAACCTTGCTAAAAATAAATGGATGACGGATACAGATGGACCCAGAAAAATTTGACTCTACCAGGTACCAACCAAGAGAGAAGCACCACCGTGCACGATGCCACGATGAACATCTCTTGATTCTTTTGTTGGACACGTGTCCAAATAATAGGCGATCGAGGGGAATCATCAGCAAGGTGTACGGAACTGATGAACTGAAACCGTCCGATCAATTACAGATGCTTCAAGAAGCACGCAACCGATCGCTTCAAGTTGTGCACTTGTGCCAAGGAAACAGCTTCGGCCTTCAGTCACGGCTTCACCGAGTTCACATCTGCGCCCCATTAGGGGACGCCCCACATCTTTAGTACTTGTTATCGAGAAATGTTTCGAATAGAAGATGGGGATGTGCTGTGGGGCATTGTGCGACGCTCCTTCCCGCAGATGTGAATTCGGCTTCATACAGGAGCTGGACTAGAACTAAAAGTCCTAAATCTACTGCTAATTACCAACTTTATAATAAAACAAGAATTATCACAAAAATATAAAAGATAAAGAAAAAAGGTAGTGTTGATAAAGTATAAATACATATAAAATAATACAAAATATAAGGTTTTACATTTTATATAATTGTATTTGTACATCTTCCAAACTGAATCTTAAGAATACGGGAAACGGGACAGTAGTTTCAATCAGCAATGTATCATTGTTTGTTTCTTTTTGCAAACTTTGATTATTTTTGCTTTGGGGTTTACTTTATTTTACTTTGTTTGCACAATAAGAATTTAAGAAATCGAACAAAGTAAAACGTGTACACAATTTGGATTCAATTCATTTGCACCAATGCAGAATGAAAATGCACTACAAATAAACAAAGCCTAAGGTAAGGATGCTGGCTGCCTTTGCCTCTCAGTAAAATTTTCGGAGAAGTAAGGAAAGGCCTGATGCAGAATTCTGAATTCCAGCCCCCCCCCCCCCTTCTATTAGCCTTTTCCCCCTATAAATCACATCCTATCCGTGAATTCGGTATCAATTCACAGTTAGAATTTATTCCCCCTGTACTATGGGGCTATAAAATTCTGATATGCGCTGATTGATCATTCTTCCTAAAATTTTTCACATCATGATATTTTCAATCATTATTTTCTGCTTTTATGATGAATTTTTTACATCCCTTCTAATTTGTTTGCAGTGCAGTTTTTTTATGAGAATTTTCAGAAGAAGATTCTCCAATATCATGCTAAAAATGATGAGAATCATTTTTCCTTTTTGATTTGTGTTTTATTTTACTTTACTTCAGGTTTTATTTTACTTCATTTGCAATGCAAACAATCAAAATAAGGCAACAATTGAAGCAACAAAAAAAACATTAAAATTTGCACTCCACTCTTTTCCAATAATGCATATGAGATTTGTATTGCAAACAAACCAAATAACATGAAATCATAAAAATGGTTTTTAGCGTGGAAACAATTTTAATTTTTCTGTTTGAAAATAAATAAGGCATCTTGTAAGTAAGTGGATGTTTGGAACCATGGCCATTTTTCAAAAAAATGGTGCTACATCGGATTCACATAGTCGTTTCAACAAATGCCTATGTATCTCATTGTTTGGTTCAGCCAATTATTAAAAAATTGGGCATACCTCGAAAATTGGGACTCATCGATGCATGAAACGCATCGGTGAACCGTTTCCCCCAACGGTTAACGGATGTATATCCTATGTGGTGTTTACCTGTTAGCACATACATGAAAAATGGTGATGAAAATCACATCTTACTAACCAGCATAATATTTGTTCACCGACTACGTGACAAACATTTTTTTATGAAAAATGGGTCTTAAAAGTATGGACGTTTTTTTCTTGAAAATCATTCCCAAAAAATGATCACGCTTCCAAACACCATCTAAGTTTTGCTTAGTATTTGGCCCTATTCCATTTACTGTTGGGATCGCAGTTGGCTAGCCACGTGACTACTTATTGTGATTAAAGGACCAACAGTACAAAGGTTTCAGAGTTGGAACAAAGCAGCGCCAGTGGACAGTGCGAGTTGATCAGTTGAATTTCAAAATAGCATCACCAAAAGGGTATTTCTGTAAATGTCGCGTGATAAATTCCAGATTTTTCCTGTTCTTTTTATTTAAAGAAAACAAGATCACATCACACATTTAATTGCCAACGGACTAGTGCATTTAAGAACAGGTGCCGTTAGACATCTCTCAGCTTGTGATTCCAGGATCAGCGCCACACAAAAACACATGACTCTCACATCTCACCTAGTGCAGTCAATAGGCCGGTTTTACCGGTTTTGGGTTGGATCTCTCTAAATCAAAATTAATTTGGTCGGTATATAAATATATATAAACCATTAATTTGGTTCATTAATAGAAAATAAGAATAAAGTGTCAATAGATCAGGTTCGGTTAGAACCAATCTAAATTAAAATCACTTTGAACAAACTGGACAGTTTATACCATGGTTTTCAAAATCAGATCGCATCGGATGGTCGTACTAGAAAAGCCGGTGAGTGGTTCCATTTTACCCCACTGTTATTTCCTCAAAAACCATTGATTTAGTCAGTAAATTGTTGACCCAAGCATTTGAACCGTTTAATGATTTGACTGATTTTTTTGTTAGAATGGGCCATTTGTTTGGTTTGAACAATTAGACTGTTTAACCCAAGAATCGGACCCCTAACCAGTTCATTGTCTGGGTTCGGTTTTAAAAATCTTGGTTTATACATTGAACTGGACCGGTCTAAAATGGTCCAAAGTATTCATATGATTGGATTGACACTCCTACTCACATCAATCCAAGCTCTTACTTGATTAGAGGACATGTTTTTCACTAAAGCCATTTTATACTTAATTTTAGGATTTAAGATTTGAGTTTCAAGGGCCAGGTTTAGGTTTTAGGGTTTAGATATAAAAGCAATAAGTGGTCCGAAACTTTCATTTGACCATAGTATAACAATCAAGTATTATTGTCCATCCGATGTCGAATTGGTTGTAAGCATGGTTTTGAAAACCATATTGTACTAATTAACCTGGGAACTCGCCAGACAATTGGTTTCATTTAGAGGTGTAAATCGGGTCATGCTACCCGTAGCCCGGCCTGACATGGTACGACAGTCCATGGGCCGTGCCAGGCCCGGCACGACCCATATATACTATTTATATATATACATATACATACATAATATTTATATATATAATATATAATATATAATAATATATAGTATATAATACATTAATAAAATAAACATTTTTTTTCAATTTTATTATATTAATTTATTTAATTATTGTATATATAAACAATTGTATACATCAAAATTCATTTAAAATTTAAATTTTAAGTTTTTTTTTTCAAAATTTTTAAATAAATAGGCAAAAATAGCTTTGGCCAGGTCCATGGCCCGATTTGAGCCAAGGCTTGGCCCATGGACCAACCTGGCCCACGGCACGGCGGCGGGCCTAGGTCGTGGGCTGTGGGCCGTGTCGGGCAGACCCCCAAAATTTCCGCCTGTGAGTCGTGCCATACCGGCCCGTCATGGCCCACTTTACACCTCTAGTTCCATTTTACCTTTAAACTGCTCCTAAGCCAAAAACCGGTGATTTGGTCAATGACCCACTGACCTGGCTAATTGATCCAACAACCTATTAACCCAACACTAGTTTTTGGCCTTTTTATTTTAATTATTTTTTAAACTTTTTATTTAAAAAAAATCATAATGAACCATCCATTTGAACCGAATGATCGGATTGTTCGACTCAATAACAAGTCTCTAAAACGGTTCCGTGTCCGGTATGATTTTTCAAAACCTCGGTCGTAAGGCATCTCTCCTAACGATAAGCTTGGGTTTAAACTTTAAACTGTATAAAGTAGACTCTCCACCTCACTTGCCAAATTGGCACAGTATTACACCTGCATCACTAACGCCCAAAAAACAAAACAAGAAAGAAAAAGAAACTAACTTACGAATGTGGACATGTCAGCTTGCTTAGGCCAAAAATTAAGCCATCAGAAGTTGCTGCATAAATAGAGAAATGCTGGTAAACAAGAAGTTAAAGCAACTCTTTGGATACCTCTCGGTGGCCCCCATGAAAATACACATTCAAAAAATAATAATAGACATTGATTTCATCACGTCATAAGGTGAGGTATCCAAGAATTGCATGAACTAGTTGTTTACTAGTATTATATGACTAGAAGTATGTGATAATGTCACACAACTTGATCTGCCCTTGAATTGGTAGGTTTCAATCCTCGTGGGGCCCAGTTTTCTGGACCCATCTGATCGGCTGGTCCAACTACCTCAGAGACAACACAAAGAAAAATAAGAATTGAGGGATTGAATATCGTTAATGTATCATTTTCTGTCTTAATCAAGGAAGCTTTTCATTTTTATATAAACTTAGAAGAGACCCATACAGTGTGTATACTGGTGCACTAACGAATACGGGTGCCAATTGGATCAGATTTGCACCGATATGAGTTCAATATAAATGGATTATGTTCAATCCAATCCAATAAATATTTTGGAGTGGTCAAATTCTATTGGTTTTAATCTAGATTTTTGTTTCGATCCAA